AACCCTTCTCAGGAAATCAGCACCCTGATCTCTGAACATGTCTGATGGATTTGTTGTACTGCGTCTGCCAAGCGACATGCATCTTTTGCAGACCTTTTCCAAACGTCCCCGCGCCTGCCATCGTTTTTGAAAGTGCTACAAACCCTTCATGCACGTGTTGCTCACTTTTGGCAAGGTGCAGAACCCCTGGCGCCTGCCACGAAAACTGACGGGTCAACGTCCAAAAGTGGTCCGAACGTGGTGTGTTTTACAATTTTGACTTCTAAATGTGCTTCGCGCCACAACGCCGTGCACTTTTTCGACATCTCAACGTCCAAAAGTGGTGCGAGACCGTCAGCCTTGACCATTTTTGACTTGCGAACGTGCTTCTCCACAACAGCTTGCACTTTTTTGGAGAAGTGCTCCGAGAATGGTGTGCCTTTCACATTTTGACATGGAAGCGTGCTTGGCGCCACAGCAGCACACTTTTTTGAACATCTCAACGTCCAAACTTGCTCCGAGGCTGAAGCGGCATGCACTTTTTCAACATCTTATCTTATAGCTTCCAAAAGTGCTCCGAACATGGTGTGTTTTGTACGTTTGGCTTGGTCATGTGCTTCGCACCACAGCGGCGTGCACTTCTGCCACATCTCAATCTCCGAACCTGAGGTGGTTTTAACATTTTGACTTCCTTCAAACGTGCTTCGCCCCACAACGGCGTGCAATTTTTGATCTCTCAGCTCCCGCACCCGCCGCTTTAGCGAGCCTACTTTTTGACCCTCCGGAGCCACCGGCAATGGAAAAACATAGCGTTTCGCTACTTTTCTACCTATTCGCGCATCTAAATCTTCTTTCTTCTGACCCTTCTTCTTCTCTTCTCTGTTCTGACTCTTGCCACCTCTGCTGCTGTCCATCTTGTCGGAAGTTTGAATTCTAAATTTCTCCCGACTAGTAAAGAAAAGGGTCCGTGTGACCAGATTAGCCCAGATTAGTGTGAATGGAGCCATCTACTTATACCATACTTATACTGTATCTAACTGCGCTTTGGTGATATTGTGTTGTTCTGGGCTTGCACAGGCGACCTGATGATGCGCGGCTCATATCCACTTGAGATGGGCATAGCATTTGATCAGCGGCCATTTCAGGAACCTAAATTCGAGGTACCTACCACCATATGTAAGGCCTATATAAGGCCTACATAAGGGGATATCCCCAGAAAATATGGCCTTACATGGTACAGTACCTCCATTGTGGGATCCTGAAAGTACCATTGATTTGATAGCATGGCGTAGTTTTTTCAACGAGCTTCGGAGCGATGATCCGCCGTCAGGTTTCTGAAATTGCGGGAACCTCCCCGGCAGAGGCTGTGCACTTATTCTCCGGGGCCCCTTGGCAATGATCGAACTCAGAGATGAAGGCAAGAGGTGCTGATTGCCTGCATCCAGGTGTCCTTTACCACTTGCTGCTTCTGGGTGTTTGAGGATTGCTGAACGTTTCTTTGGGGCGCTGGGGATTTGGTTGATCGCCGTCTTCCTCTTTTGTGCCTCGACATGATCAATGAGTCCAAGCAGTCTCACCCAGTCTTTTGGCAAGTTGCTACCAAAACATAGGATCTGCAGGCAAGTGGGTGGCATGAAAGGGTGCCAACAGGGATCAACATTGCATCACCGGAGGGGAGCGCTAAGATCGCCTAGGCTATGCCATCCTGACCATGTCCTCGGAGACGTTCATATTCTCAAAGGCCCCACACCGTGTTGAAACTGCGAGTGGACAGGGACGCAGAAATTAAACATTTTGAGAAGGGACTCGAAGATGCGCAACAAGTACAAATACAATCACACAATCACACAATCACACAACACACAACACACAACGCACAACGCACAACACACAACACAACACAACGCAACGCAACGGCAACGGCAACGGCAACCGCAACCGCAACCGCAACGCAACGCAACGCAAACACAAACACAAACACAAACACAGCACAGCACAGCACAACACAGCACAACACAACACAACACAACACAACAAAACACAGCACAGCACAGCGCAGCACAGCACAGCACAGCACAACACAACACAACACAACACAACACACACCACACCACACCACACCACAACACAAAACAACACAACACAACCCAACCCAACCCAACCCAACGCAACGCAACGCAACACAACACAACACCACACCACACCACACCACACAACATAACACAACACAACACAACACAACACAACACAACACAACACAACACACAACACACACACACACAACACACACAACACAACACATCACACATCACACAACACACAGCACACACACAACACACCACACCACACAACACACCCCACTTCCTGAAACCACAACGCAACACATCACAACACAGAACACAGAACACAGAAAACAGAACACACGAGACACAGCACACAACACACACACACAACACACAACCCAGGACGCACAACGCACAACGCACAACGCACAACGCACAACCACAACAGACAACAAACAAACAACAAACAACACACACAACACAACACAACACAACACAGCACAGCACACACCACACAACACAACACACACACACACAACAAACGACACGCGACACGCGCCGCACGACACACGACGCGCAACACACCACACCTCATTAAAGCACAACACAACACAACACACCACAAAACAGCACACCACAACACACAAGACACAACACACAAGACACAACACACAAGATACAACACGCAAGACACAATACGCAAGACACAACGCACAAGAGACAACACACAAGACAAAAGACACGAGATACAAGACAGAAGCTACAAGACACAAGCTACAAGACACAAACTACAAGACACAAGCTGCAAGAAAAAAGCTACAAGACACAAGCTACAAGACACAACGCAACACAGAACACAGAACACACAAGACACAGCACACAGCACACACCACACACCACACAACACACAACACACAACACAACACACAACACACACACACAACACACAGCACACAGCACACAACGCGCAAAACACATCACACAACACACAAGACACAAGACACAACACACAAACACATAAACACATAAACACATAACACGCAAGACACAAGACACAAGACACAAGACATCACACAACACAACACATCACACAACACACAACACAACACACAACACAACACGCAACACACATCACACAACACACAGCACAGACGCAACACACAACCACAACACACCAAACAACACACCACATCACACACAACACGCACACACACACCACCTTAAACCACAATACAACACAACACAACGCAACACAAAACACAAACACAAAACACAAAACGCATCACGCAGCACACAGCACACAACACACAAGACAACAGACAAGACAACACACAAGACAACACACAAGACAACACACAAGACAACACACAAGACAACACACAAGACAACACACAAGACAACACACACAAGACAACACACACAAGACAACACACACAAGACAACACACACAAGACAACACACACAAGACAACACACAGCGCACAGCACATAACACATAACACATAACACACAACACACACAGCACACAATACACAATACACAATACACAGTACACAATACACAATACACAAGACACAAGACACAGCACACGCACACGCACACGCACACACACACGCACACGCACACGCACACACACGAACAACACACAACACACAACACACGACACACCACATACCACATACCACACAACGCACAACAGTAGCCACAAGCCACAAGCCACAAGCCACAAGCCACAAGCCACACCACACACCACACACCACACACCACACACCACACACCACACACCACACACCACACACCACACACCACACACCACACACCACACACCACACACCACACACCACACACCACACACCACACACCACACACCACACACCACACACCACACACCACAACACGCGACAACACACGACAACACACCACAACACACGACAACACACCACAACACACGACAACACACCACAACACACCACAGCACAACACAACACACAACACGACACACCAGACCACAACACAAAACACCACAACACACCGCACCACAACACACCACACCACGCCACAAAACAACACAACACACCAGACTTCACTAAACCACACCACACGACACGACATGTCACAACACCACAAAACACCACAGAACACAAATCACAAATTACAAAACACTACACAACACAAGACAACAAAACACAAAACAAAAAATTACAATACACAACGCAACACAACACAAAACACTAAACACATAACACAAAACACAAGACACAACACAAAACACACAACACAGAACACCAAACACCAAACAATCAAATACAAAACACAACAACACACAACACACACAACGCACACATATGTATACTTATATATATTATATTTATACTGACAAACTATACTAGTATGACATATATGACATTAGGCGACCCTCTGTTTTTTTTCTAGATGGGACTTTCGCATGGCAACAGCACGCTGAGCACACTGGATTTGTTTTACGCATTTTTGGCTGTGAGGACACCCGCGAGATGAAACAAAAAGAACCAGCGTGTGAGACCCTCAGAATCAAAAGAGACAGATTCAAAATGCTGCCAGCATCAACTCCTGGGACTATGTCTCTAGGAGTTCAACATACTTCAGACGCATTTCAAAAGAGTTGAAATTTGGTTTGAGATACCTCAAAGATCTCAATGCCATCTGGGTGGTGTGTTTGTTTCTGATATACACCGCTGCCCCAAGTAGCGTTGAAAAACATTAAAAGGTGACCATGACTTGACTGGGAACGATCTGTGTGATGACAGCTCGGATGTCGAAGATCAGTGGCAAGAAATTTTGTTGGCGCACGGTTCAATCATGTTCCACTTTGATTGTGTTGTAACGTGTCGTATAAGAACATTTGATTTATCTGATGGAGCAATACCGAGAGAGCCTTCCAAACTGATTGCAAAAACTGCGAGAGTGTGGAGATACTACGAAATCATCGCAGCTACGGTCCTGGCAGTCCCAGTGATTTTAAGCGATCAGCAGGCGCAATTCGATGCGGAATATGTTTCACGCTAACATATTGTAAGTATATAGCAACATGGTGGTGCTGCATATGTGGCCTTTGATTGCCCTCCAGTGTGGAGTCTTTTTGTGGCTAGCAGGCTGCCGTGATTCTTCACGTTGCTGTCTTCCCAGGGAAATTTTGTTTCACCAACAGTTGACCTAGGTGGACAGCACATGGTCTATGTGCTCATTATTAAGAGGATATTGGAGCTATTCCTGCTGACCCATCTGTGCGGGCCCCTGATGATGCAGGCCTGGTAGAGTTAATGGTTGTGGGGCAATGACCCAGACAAACTGACCAACTGGGTTTAGAAACCGTGGTCATTGGTCATGTCTTACGAGTCTTATGTGTTTAAATGTGTTTAAGTGCAATTAAACTTACTGTAAGTGTTTGAGAATGCTTGGCTTCAATGGTTGATTTTCAGTTTATGACTTGCCTGACTTGCACCGTTGACACTACGAACCTGACACAGGGAGCAGAAGACCTTGAGCGTTACAGAACCGCAGGCGTGAGAGAGATGGAGGGTGCTGGACTGGTCAACCGGATTCGCAAGTGCTTTTTGGGGTGTCTGGGCAGACTCAGCAGCCCTTGTTTTTTATCTGTTTTGTAGATGCTCAGCACCCAACATTTTTTTCAACTTTCAACTGTAATCATTGTAAGAGGGTGCAAGGAAGTAATATAAGATGTAATAAGAAAATAGAACCGACATGACCCGACTTCATTCCATTCCAGATGCTGTTTTTGGCGGTGCCTTGCTTGCAGCATCCTTTGTTGACTGTTGCCTCATACCACAGGCCTCCTTTGCATACTTTACTGTTGAGCCATGTTCAACCATTCCTTAAGGCGACTTTGCAATTCAAAGACATTTGACCCAAGTGATATGTGCAATTTCTTCCTTTTTGTTCATGTTTTGATCCTTTTTAGTCCTTTCTGTCCGTTTGTCTCTCCCAGAGTTGCCATCTCCAATTCCCGGTTCCTGCCAGTTGCTGGGCTTTGACCCATCCCACAATAACCCACATGGCCTCGCGTGGCCTCGCGTGGCCCAGGACAAACTACTCTCCCCGGTGGTTGAGCTCCTTCTTTCCAGACTACCTCGCAATGTTTCTGGTGTTTCCTTGTAGCATTGTCTTTACTGTATACCTCTGGGTCCAAAAATTTGAAGCACGTAAGCACCAATTCGAAGATGAACGGCTCTTCACCAACTGGAACGATCCAACTTATGGATTGTTGATCTCTGTGGATGCTTTCCTCTACATCTACACTGCCGTTTTGATGACCGGCTTCTTATGCACAACGTTGGAGTTTCACATCGTGGCCAGTCCCGAACATCGAACTGAATTCACAGCTGTTCTTTCGCTGTTTATAGTGCTCTGGGCAATGAATTTTTTCACAACTCAAGATGATCGCTACGTCTACGCAGCTGCTTCTTGGTTGAGTTGATCCCGCATTTGTGACTTTTTGTTCGTGGTGATTCCTAGTGTCACCCGTGTCCCTGTGGTGAAGGCTTGGGGCTATAACAAGATGAGTCCCTTCTTTCGAGGGATGGCGGCGCTGGGACAAGTTTTCATTACGCATTCTACAGCCCCTTTGGTGGTGACCGGTGATCTGGAGCTGGAAAGACTTGGGCACCTCCTGCAGGGATAGCGTCGGTGAATACAAGTTATTGAATAAATAGTTTGATTTAATATATATATATATATACATGTATTTATATACAATTATGCATGTGATTATGTATATACATATATAATATAATATAATATAATATAGTATAATATAATATAATATAGTATAATATAATGTGGATGCATCATAATATTTTTTAAGGGGTGTGTGTGTATATATGCCAGATAAATACATACACCAATGTACGCACCAACACCCACAGATATACTTTAACAGCGTTATGTGATATTTCACATAGGATGATGTTAAACTAATAAACTAGGCAGTACAAAGAAGCCCAAGAGATTCATGTCATTCTTGTGGAATTTTTATGGAGTCTTGAAACAGTTTCACTTGCACCTTGCTGTTCTGTGTGATGCAGTGCTTGGGTGGATGGACCTTCAATAGCCGTGGGAGAAAACTATTCATTTGACGGTGTGCCAATGTCGGTTTGCTGTCAGGGTATATGATTCAGGTAATCCCAGACGGTCCAAACTGGATTTTTGCAAAGGTGAATCTCTTAGCATGTGAACAATCCGCCCGTTTGCCAGCAACCTCATTGTGGTCAGTGACGGTTTTTGACAAGCAGCTCACGTCACGATGCCCCCCTTCTTTTATCTTCTTTTCATATCTGTTCATTGTGTGCGTGAGCCGATGCTGTTTCAATCGTTTTCCTTTACTGCTCACTATTGAGATGATCGAAGAATTCCTGGAATTCCTGCAGGATTCTTGAAAGGTTTCTGACAGGATGTGACAACCTGAGGGTGAGCTCCTAGCTGTGCTCGCCGTCCTCGCTGTCCTCGCTCGCCAAGGTCATGTTGGGTGCCGTGCTGTTAGGCCATTCTGAGCATGTGCGACGAACACCAGACATGCACTTCGACGTGTTTTTCTTCAAGTTTTTACCAAGGCTGGTCGGATTTGGTCAGGGTAGCTGGTGGATGGAGTATGATGAAGCATATGAAGCTTGGACTTCATATACCACCATATACCACTTCCATCTTTTATATGGCCGGCTATATTCCTTTATGTATGACATGCTCATCATTCGAAGGTCTCGGCCAACATGTTGCACTCTGCTTTAACATCCCTAAATGATTGGGGTCAGCTTCCTGCAGCAAAATACCACTGGCTCCCGCGTCGTGGTTCTGATGTCCCCTAACTGGATTCCAGCCGCATAATTTTTGCCGCCCAGTCTGTCGGTGCTGCTCGTCGTCATTGTGCTTTGTGCCTTAAATCGGGAAGACCACAACCACAATGTGGACTGCCTCTCGAGCTTCGCTAATGCCCTCGATGCTGTGTGGCCGTGGTTTGAATTCCTCCTGCCATTCTTGGGTGGCTTATTTCTGCTGATTACAAGCTTTGTGGGAAGGGCCACGGATAGAGACTTTGACATCGAGATGGATGCTTGGCATTGTTTGTCCATGTTTTTCCTGTCATAGCCAGTGGGAATACAGGAGAGAGTAACAGGACCTCCGCCTGTTGCAAGAGTTGGCCAACTCGTGGTGAAGCACCCTTCAATCATCAATCCATCCACCCCAGCAAGCGCAACTGGGACAGTTGTGAAGTTATGCTCATTGGGGTGTTTGTGGAAACGATCTCATGATATTCCCTGATCTGGCTGCATTTACATGATGTAACATGTAGGGGTGACCCGACGGTAACAAAAAGGCAACAACACAACGATATATCGAGGGAGAAAGAAAACAAACTGTCGTGTTTGGAACATTTCAAACTGCATGTAGCCTATTCCAAACGCTGGTGGCAGGGCGTGCAAAAAAGCAGACTGAGCTCAACCTGACTTTCAGACTTGATTCCAGAAGTTTCTCAGCAGGCTTTGCCCTCCAAGGATTATGATTCCACGCTCATGGTTGCAACTGTGTCCCTGGCAGTGTTCTTCAATGTCAATCGCATCTTTGAGAAGCTCGAGCATACACCATGCATGCGTTGACATTATATTGACATGGTGTTTTCTACTTCAATAACTTATGCGACTGTATACTATGTTAATGTTTAGATTTGGTCATTGTTGCCACAGAAGCTTCCTGAAGCAAGAGAGAGCAACCTCCTCGCAAAGAAAAGCAACAAACTTACCTGCAACATTGGTGGCCAAGGATGGAAGCCGCCCGAGACTTGCCTTGGAAAGCTTGGGGCATAGAGTCAGTACCTAGATTCTCTCAGATGTACCCAGATGTACCTTCTTGCAACTTGATGATAGCTTGATGATTCATGATCTTGATGGGAGTCAGGCGGTGATTGGTTCTGATTGGTTCATATTGCTTGCAATGTTTTGTGAAGGCCATGGCACAGGGCACAGGGCAATATTTCTTGTTGACCATAGTTGATGCCGGGGCTGTCGAGGTCCCCAATGATCCAATGATCCTAATGTCCCCGCTGCAAGTTGGCCACTGGACCCACTGGACCCTCCTTCACTTTCGTAGATTCGGCGGTGAAAATGGTCCAATCCATGGAATCCACGAAAGTACCAGTTTTTCCCCACCTGCCAGGTGAGGGTTGTTAGATTTTATGTCAGTTGCCTGCTCCTCCTCTCCTCTCCTCCTCTCCTCTCCTCCTCCTCCTGCTCAACCGCGACCCTCGACGCACAGTGGTCTCTGTCGGACCTCAACCACGACCATCCACGCCCAGTGTTCCCTGCCGGACCTCAACCACGACCATCACCGCCAGTGTTCCCTGCCGGACCTCAACCGCGGGTATCCCCGCCCAGTGTTCCCTGCCGGACCTCAACCCCGACCATCCACGCCCAGTGTTCCCTGCCGGACCTCAACCGCGACCTGCCGGAACCGCGAGTATCCACGCCAAAAGATATGCCACAGAGAGTGCCAGAAGATATGCCAGATAGAATGTTAGAAGATATGCCAGATAGAATGCCAGAAGGTATGCCCGATAGCCAGAATGCCAGAATGTTTGCCAGATAGAATTCCAGCAGATTTGCCAGATAATATGCCAGAAGATATGCTAGATAGAATGCCAGATGGAATGCCAGAAGATTTGCCAGATAATATGCCAGAAGATATGCCAGATAGAATGCCAAATGGAATGCCAGAAGATATGCCAGAACATATGCCAGAAGATATGCCAGAAGATATGCCAGAACATCTGCCAGAAGATATGCCAGGTAGAATGCCAGAAGATATGCCAGATAGAATGCCAGATCGAATGCCAGAAAATATGTCAGATAGAATGCCAGAAGATTTGCCAGTAACAAAATGTATAAATGTCATGGTGGGGATCACACGAAGTAAAGTAATTCATACCATCTTGTACCAATTTTCCACCATTTTCCACCATTTTCCACCATTTTCCACCATTTTCCACCATTTTCCCCTAGTTTATCAAAAGATGGAGATGTTGGGTTTTGAATCCAAATGTCAATCAATTCCTGCAACGCAGAATGAGGATGGATCAGGGTGGACATTGCCATGTGAATGGGAGTTTTCCGGTGCAAAACAACCATTTCAGGAAGGTAAGGCACATTGCTGATGCTCTTACCGTTGTTCCTCTGTTCAACATGTGGAAACAAAGTCCAGCTTTTTTAGATATCACATTTGGCCCCATCCCCAGCAGCATATGGCACGATCGATCATCACTAATCATCACTAATTACCTGAGGCGTGTGGAAAAGCGTCCTAGTTGAAGCTTTACAGCTCTTGGGGCCCTGTGGGTTGGCGACCTTCGCTTTCTACTCCTGGAAACAGCCACCGTTGCGTGATGGGCCGGGCAAGTTCAGGACCCGTTGGAACAATTTGTGCTGTTCCTTTGGGATGTGCAAAGGCATCTCAAGTTCTTTGATGTTCTTTGAGCACTGAAACCATGCATATGAATGCATATGAATGCATATGAATGCATATGAATGCATGTGATATCATATTAGATATCATATTAGATCATATACTGAAGTCGTCTACGTTCTCAAAGCTGGCAGAGTCGTGTTTCAGCTTTGGCTCCTGATCATTCGCGTTCGTGCTAGCGATGCACAAAGACCACCAAACACCCCGACACCAGAAGTGCCAGAGTCAGCTTTTGATCAGGAACAAATACTGCCTTTGGTTTGCGTTCGTGCTGCTGGGACAAAATGCGATTGGAATGGGACGGTTGAAACATGTCGCAGGTGGGTCATCTGAAAGGCATTCTGATACCCATTCCCCAATTGGTGACTTAATTTCCTGCTCGGCTCAGGTATGCAGGTTCCATGTTTGCAATCTTTCAGCAGCTTGGCCTGTCATGAGTCATGAGCTTTTCATAGCTTTTGATTGGAGAAGCATACCGGCATACCATCGATGTTTTATTGTGAGATGATACCAGGTGTCTCTGATGTCCCCCTAGACATGGTTCCACAGGACCGCGGAGGATTGCGAGACCTCATCTGCAGCTCAGACTGCAAACTTGGTGGAATATGGGAGGTTCATTATTTTGGACCTAGATGATATGGGAACGTGATTTACACATTTCAATGCTGTCAATCTATCAGTTCAGTTTTCTGGATGTTTGCAACATTTTCTGAAACACCTTGCGAGATTGTCAAAACATGTCACAACTAGAGTCAACTATGAGTCATCTATGAGTCAACAATCAGATACAATGAGTCAACTCAGGACCTACCCCAATGCTGCAGTTATCCCGGCCTCAACGCAGACTACAACGCGCAGAGGGGGCTGCAGGTCACCTGTGACAAGGAGCTGCGATGTATGAAGCCATTCGTGGAGGGCAAGCAGATCTGCGCTCTGCCGCATCACCTGGAGTACCTTGGCGAAAACCAACGGATCAACGGTGGAAGGTGACCCATGGCCTGGAACTAAGGTCCTTAGCTGCAAACATCACGGAGCAGAAAAAGGTGTGGATGATTGAAAGTGATTGAAATTGATTGAAAAATATGCTTTATGCTTGAGTATAGTGGATTCTTATGGATTTGTGCATTTGGACATGTTGAATATTGAAACCACTGATGGGCACAGTTTGTCAGTAGAGTGTGCAGAGCACGGAAGAGGATTGTGAGGATTGTATGCGCCTCTTCCATACAAAGGGACAAAGAATGATGAAGCTGCAGTGAATTTTCGTTGAACCTTTCCAGGGCATTCACTTCGACCAAGACACCTGCCGTGAGTTAAAAGGCAGATGGAAGGAGCGCCTCGTCACGAGAAGTGCAGGGTCCAGCTGCCAACAACCTATGATATCCAGACTGTTCACACATAAAGTGTAAGAATGTTTAAGGTCAAACATATACAAATCGCATGGGAATGAACATGAAAAGAACGCCGGCAGCTTATGACATTTTGTTTGCAGAATCTGTTGGCTTTCCAGATCGACTTTTGAGTTTGGGGGGTTTGTCGGTTGGCAGATTTGCATGGTTGACCCCAGTGATCCCCAGTGTTACTCCAATTCTCAGGAACAGAAGGACACAAAAAACCAAACCTACGGTAAACATCGGTAAACCACCTTAGCACATTATAGCCCATTATAGCCCATGATGGCCCATGATGGCCCATGATGGCCCATGATGGCCCATGATGGCTCACGATGGCTTGATTTCTTGAATTGGTGAATTGATGTGAATTGGTGGTGCTCCATGGTGCTCGCAGGACATCTCATTTCATGAGCCCTTTGCATTACAGCGCAGAAGTCTCCGCATCAAGGGTTCAAAGTTGTTCTACGTTGTTCTAAGACTTCAATTGACTACCTAAGGCACACAACGCACGCCCAAGGCCATTTTTGAGTTTGCCAAAGCTGAGGTACAGCTCCATCAGAGTTGGCGAAGGAAATCGCTCTGCTTTTCAGGTGGGGTTCGGCCTCCAATCTCCATAGCTGGGTCATGAAGACTTTCACAGTCACCGCAGCTTGCCAGTCTGATTTGGAATATTTATATTAATATGTGGGAAACTACGAAAATACCATGCAGTGGTAAGATGTGGTAAGGATCTTTAGTGGAGAGGTGATATAAATTCCAGTCTTCCAGATACGGTGCAAGGATGTGCAACGCGATAAGCCTCCAATGGATGAATATGCAAAAAGAAGCAACCACCAAGACGATCAAGACATCCCAGTCTCCAACCTGCTTGGGGTCGCACGGCAGGATGCGGAACATGAAGAAGAGAAGTTCTCGAGTGCATTCAGGTTGTTCCGTACCGTTGGAACAGCTGCCAGTGTGGAGAATCTCAGCAGCACGACCTCCAGCAAGTTTGGTCACCGGCTTTGCGCATCTTCTCTCTTTCAAGATGCTGAAACTCAAGCATCTTCCAGATTCTTCCAGTACATCAATGTAATTATAGGTCTCAAGAGACAGACCTGGTTGAATTGCTCTTGCATCGCAGGTCTCAACTGAACTTCCCTCGATTCGGACTCAGGATGTACTTTACCATTAGCGGAGTCCTTCTGAAGCTTATCTTCTTGACGCAACACCGCAAATCAGTTGCCTGGCACTGGCCTGCCGCACCCTAAAGGTACTGTGATGATCAGTTGTTGGGCAAGGATAGCCGCTGGCATATGTTGGTATAGCCTCTTAGTAGTCACTAGTCAAGGAAGAACGTATTTTTCCCCCATGTAATTACTTGGGATCTTCATCCTGTCAACCGAGGGCATTATTCTGGAACAGGATCAAGCGCATCACGGAGAGATGCATCAGAGGCATCGCACAACGGGGTGTCGGTTTTGCCAGGGACTACTGAGAACGGAGTCATCCGAAGTCATCAGAATCAGAAGTCAAAGGTGTCCATGTATGTCGTTTGAAATGAGCTCCAGGTGAAAGAATAGTTGTGTGGCTGAACATTAATGCAAGCGCGTTTATGCGACAGTGCCAAGCAGATGATGTTGTTTTCCTATGCTGTCGTTGTCATTTGCTGTTGTTCTCTTATTTCTCTTGGGGTTCTTGGGGCAAACTTTTGAGCCTAGCGCAATGGTTTGGACACAGCAAGGTAACACTGTCTAATTGAGTGACCAAAGCTTTGCCCAGTTGTTTGTGGACTATGAAGTTTGTGTTGCTGATGGCCGTTGCTATTGGTAGAATATGTAGAATTGGGCATGAACTGGGCGAATTACAGCCGTTTTTGTGGCTTTCAGTTGTGCTGCACGTGCTGAACCCATGGCATTCATGGCGCCCTTGGAGAGACCTCTGCGAGTGGCCACCGACTGCAGTGGCATGGAGACGCCCTTGATGGCATTGAAACGCCTCAATGTGGACTTTGAGCACGTCTTCAGTTGCGACAATGACCCTCACGTCAAGAAGCAGATTCTGGCCAACTATCCACAGGTCCAGTTCTTCGACGATCTCATGGCCCGAGACAATGGCAGTGCAGAGGTCCCATGCGCCGACCTGTACGTGGCTGGATTTCCGTGCCAACCATTCAGTGGTGCAGGGAAAGGGCGTGGACTGGAGGATGCCCGTGGCACAGTGTTCTTTGGGTGTGCTGACTACATCCAAAAGAAGCAGCCACGAATGTACATCCTGGAGAACGTGAAGCGCATCCTCTCCAATGACAAGGGCCGCACTTGGGAGCTGATCATGAACACCTTGATCACCATGAACCGTGGGGCTTACCATGTGGATTGGAAGGTCCTGGATACCCAGGAGCATGGCGTGCCACAAAGTCGGCCACGAGTCTACATCGTTGGAGTGTTGAAGACGGCACTGCCAAAAGACTTCCAGAGCTTTCCATGGCCAGAGAAGCTGCCCTTGATCAGCATCGAGCCCTTGCTGGAAGAAGCAGAAAGGAAGCCAACAATGAATACATTGCCACCAAGTTATCCAACCACACCCTACAAGGGCGTCAAGGAGGTGATGGATGCGTTGCACAAAGCCAAGCAGAACCCGCTGTGTCGAACCTTTTTGATTGACATCGATGCCAGTCCCAAGTTTCGATCCTACATGGAAGATCGGGTCATGTGTATGACCAAGTCTAGACCCTCCGGCTTTTGGATCTCTTCAAGGGGTCGCCGGATGACTGTGGATGAGATGTTGCGCTTGCAGGGCATGGAGCGATGCTTCGAGCAGGTGGTGTCTGACAAGGTCCTAGGTGCTCAGATTGGGAATGCCATGAGCCAAAACATCCTGGAACGGCTCTTCATCCATTTGTTGCCCGTTGCAGGCTTGGTGCCCAAGTCCATGGTGCTGCAAGATAGATGGCTGCAAAGAACCTCAGATCCAACTTGGCCTCGCAGAGTCAACGAGGTGAAAAAGGTCGCACTGAAGGTCAAGGAGGCTCCGAAACGTCAAGCTTCCTGTGCTTCTCGCGCTGCTGGCAGCAAGAAGCGTCGCGCAGCATGAGCGGTCAGCGGTGACAACATGTGGTCACTGAGACTTGGAATATCTTGGAACACAGTGGCAGGGGATGCTAGTGAGGCTGCAGCGAAGCCTTCTCAGTAGCTCTTAAAAAGGTACAAACAGATCAAACCGATGGCACTTTTTTCATCAAGAAATCAAAGCTGTCAGTATGTGTTTGCAAAAATTCTGGATGAATCAGCCTTGACTAGCAGCGCCGCTGTAGTTTCCGTGTTTTTTTTGTGGAAAGGGGAATTGAATGGATCGCAGGGGCAGCTGCTGGAATGCATCTGCGAAGCCTTGCCATTTCGATGGCAGCCAGTGATCAGCTGTGATTCATCGAGCATCTCAGTTTGTCAAGGACGCCTGCTTCACATGCTGGCTGCCGCCAAGATGACAAGCCGTGAGGGGTTAGTGAGGCTAAGGGAGTTGATATATGAGTTGCTAGTTGCTAAACTTAGTCCAGATCACTGCAGTTCTTGTTGAAACTCCAGCCTATTTGTCATGTTTTTGATTGTTTTTGTATGTTTTGTGTCAGTGTGTTTTGTTCGGAATGCATGTTGGTGCTGCAAAAATGCTGCCTGGCTCACTAACAAAAAACGTCGATAGTCATCGCCAGTGGTTTCTCTCGTTTTTTCTAGGAAATGTGGACTGTGCCGAACTGGCACTTTCAGTTAATGTCTCTATGATCAGTGTTAGGGTGTCGCGTGGCTCCAGAAGAACGGGCCGCATCCCAGTAAATGTGACATGGCACCACTGCGGCGCCAAATCCGAGAATCTCTGCATCTATAGTTCCGCGAGTCTGGAAGGAAAAGTGCGGAGTGGCGCCGGTCAAAAAGGGGATAATTACTTTGGAGTGCCAATAAGACCAACAAACAATGCTGGATCCGCACCGCACAGAATGTGAAGCCCTTCCATGACTATTAGATTTTTGTCTGCGCAGGTTGGGCGAGTCGATGATCAATGCATCCTTCGCAGACCGGCCCCTTGTTGCATCAGGAGTGGAGTTGCAGCAATCAGAGGTGCGACATGCTGCGACCACGAGACAGTCTCCCTAGACAGTCTCCTACGATCATTTTATCTCACCTGTATGGGACCTCAAAATATCTCAAAATGATAGACCATTGACGTACACACCAGTAATGCCATAGCAATCCATAGCATATTTTGATTGGAATCTCTGGGTCATGCATGGTCATGCAGTCATGCCCAAGACTTTTGAATCTTTTGAAGTTGTACTAGTAGGGAATATTCATACCAGTTCATATCTGTTCCCTGACTTGCTCAAAAGTTCTGTGAACCATTCAAACCATTCCCTTCCAAAAATCTTCGAAGATCCTGGAAGTTTGTCTTGTGTGAGCTGCCAATAGCTGCCAGGCATGAAGCAGTGAGGCCGCCCGGTTTGGGAGGCTTCGCTGCCTCGGTGTCCAAAGCATGGCACCAGGATGGACACCTCCAAACGAGGATTAGACTGGCGTGAGTGGGCGTCAAAAGAGCCGTTGCCAGGTGCATTTGTTCATCATGTTTCATCATTTTCCTGATGTCTTGTGAGTTTTGTGTCTCGTAATGTCTCGCATTTTTGGGCAAGCCTAGTTTTGGAATTGTTTTGGCCGAAATGGCGCCGAAGCAGAGTGCATCTGTTTGCACACTACAAAATTGACATGCCATGATAGAATCTGGTAGAAGGCAAACCATGCCACGCCATTGCCATTGAAACACCTTGTCTTGTTGTAAAAAACATGTAAAAACAGTCTTTAGCCATGAGATGCCATGAGTTTCTGAGTACATCAGGATCAGGAAGAAGTGGTCCGGCAGATCAGGCTGGGGTACAAAGTGAATGTGAACATGGAAAATAAGTGTGGGCTCAACGTGGATGTCGCAGGATTTTTAGGAGAGCTGTACGTGCCAATGTTTATTCCTGGTCCCCATCCTCAAATTTTGCATAGCAATATATAGCAATTTTACAGGGCTTTGCGAGATGCGGAGCGAAAGATGATGTAGAATCAAGTACCATCAATTTTTACACAAATTTCACCAGGATGCCATGGCCGTGGCAGGAACTGTTTGGATATTCCTCTGTCCATCATTTTCGTTGGCATCGGCGTGGCCACGGACGGTTGCAGCATGTTGCAGCATGGTTTTCAAGAATTATAATATGAGGCAACAAAATTATTGCAAAATTATACCTGATGACATTTGATGATATCTGATGATACCTGATACATGACGATGATATTCTGCAACATTCTGCCATGTTTGAAGCCCTGCGGCCTTGCAACGAGGGAACGGAGAGCTGCCGGTTGGACGGCCAGGAGTTCAAGTTCCTCCGCGAGTTGGCGAAGGATATTCCAGCGATCTTGAAGAGCGCCGAGCCGGAAGGTGGATGGTATGGATGGTATGAGATGAGATGTTTGGGGATATTTGGAGATATTTAGGGAGATGACATGGAGTTGATCATAGATCCACTTCTGATGTTCTTCGACAAGACATGATGAGAGCGAGCGAAGGTTTTTGCAAGCGGTTTTGCTCCGTGGTTTTGGGTCGTTCACTCTGGAAGATCTGGAAGTACACTCGTCCATTTGGCTGGCACAGTTGAGAACCCAGTGAACCTGCAGAATATGCAGCTGGTAGATGACCCAGCTTTGTTATTGTTATGGGTTAACATGGATAAACACAGTCACAGTCATCAAATTTTGGTTGGGATCCATGGGATTGGTAAGGGGAGTGAAAAAAAATCCAAGGCTGTTTCAAAGTGTAGAATTCATTTCAGATCGTTTCAGTATGTTTAAGATTGTTTATGTGCCGGGAATGATGAGAGATGCGTAGGGTGTAATACGGGCGTTGGCGCTGCTAAGCTTCTGGCCTGCATGGCTGCATTCGGCTCGTCAGAACATGGTGTGAAAAACGGTTAGAAGATGTTGGAAGAATCATTGGTGGGAACTCATCAAGTATACTGTAAATTCATGTAAATTCAATGAAATTCATGTAAATTCATGTAAATTCCTTACTGCACCTTTTGCTGGGGCCGGAGGGCACCATGCTGACCCAAACCTGAACATCAGTGAACATCACAATGATCACTCGCCCGAGACTCGCCCTTGAGTAAAAGCACTTGGTAGCCATGCACCAGTCCATCACTGCTTTGCCAAGTTGCGTGTCGGTGGCTAAGATTTGCAAGACATGATCCTGTTGACCTGTGACCGGTGACCAGCAGTGACTGGTGCAGCTGAATGCGGCTGAGGCATTCGACCATTTTCTGGTTTATTCCCACCAGATCATTGTCCGGCACTTAGATATGATGCCTGAACGCAGATATCAGAACGCATTTTTGCACGATGATTGTATCAATCATGTCAACACTACCATCATCACCATCACCATCACCATCACCACCACCACCACCATCACCACCACCACCACCACCATCATCATCATCATCATCACCATCATCATCCTCATCCTCGTCCTCGTCCTCGTCCTCATCCCTATTCACAAGTCAGAAGTCACAACTGTTTCCCCTTAATTAGTCTCCTAACTGATGACTGTAATTTACCAATATGCATTTCGATCATCTAACCGTTATTTCAACCATGCTCTGACAGCTCGCATCATAATACATCAAGGCCTGATGGGATGGTTGCGAGATTTTGTCAGCAACTCCAATGTGCACAGGTCTTCATGGCTCAGCACATGCAGCTCCAATCTGTCAACATCGTTGCAGCATCCATCGTCCGACTCGTGGCGTCTTCGAACCCTCCGCAGCTTCGGTGGGGAACTGGCGGAGCTCGGCCCTTCGGATCCGTCGGATCCGTCGGAGTGGCGGCGGAGGTTCCTACGCCTGGCGCGGGCCTGTCATGCAACGAGCAATCTGAAGGACTTGGCCAAGAACAACAGACTCAGCAAAGAGATGTTCCTGCGACGGGAGTTCCAGCTGGGAGAGACACCAACCTGGGACTTGGAGTCGCACCTCAGCTCTGAATCCCAATTGATATGAACCTGCCTTGTGCATCCTTATGCTGATGGGAAGATCTGCAGGGCAAACATGTAATGTCCTTCTACTGTTCTTGTGATGTGTCTCTCACTAAGCAGTGCACCCTGAGGAGCATAGTGGATAGACATGGATAGATATGGATGGACCACATAGACCAAAATCGGTCCAAAACATCACTTTTTGTATTGGCAGAGCAGAAGAGTTGTTTCCTTTTTGAGGTCCGACTCATGCATGTGGCAGTAGTGTTGAAGTGATTGGCTGAGCGTTGGGCTTTCCATTTTGGGAGCCCACTGTGACAACTGTCCCCTCATGAGTTGATACTCCATTCATATGTTTTCATATGTTTTCCTATGTTTTGATCTGTTGTGGGACTTGTGACTTTTTGACTGTCGACGAGTCGGGCACAGGCAAAGTCAAACATGTTTCAATGTGCCCTCTGCAAACAAGGCAGTGGAGTTTAGTTGTGCCCACGCCCGACTTGGAAGCCGCGTCCATCCTTTGCTATGACGGAGCGTCCTGCCAGTTGTGCGCCTCTTGTCTGCACTTGATTTGTCTTGGTGTATTTTACGGATTTTTACTGGCTTACCACCTAGGCCATAACCGTTAGTACCATTATACCTGTTTGAGCCCTTTCTGTGTGGTATTGCGTAGTTTTTCTGGGCCGACTTGGCACAACATGCTTTGGATCACCGCTGGAAACAGGATGTGAATCGCACATCTACGACCTGCCTCTGGAAAAGTGAAGCGACCGCACAGGTGGAACCTTTGCGGGCAGTGGTGGCAACAGACTCGATCTATTTGCTGTCAAAGTCAGACAGGGTGGCCAAACCTATTCAGCATCATTTCCTTTTTGGAATTTGGGATATACTGTATATATATATACATATATATAATTATATATATATATATCACCACAATTCACCACACACATATATATATATACTGTATATATTATATTCTGTATTCATGGACTATCATTTACTATTTGCCCAGGGCCAGGGAGTTGTACAATGATTGCTGGATGTTGCTGGGATGAGCAGCTGCTTTCCTTTGGGGGAAAAGTTTGTGACCGCCAGCTGTGATGAGATTCGTGCTGAGGTTGACATTTATGATTTCAACGGCGCTTGGACTGGGGATTCTTGGAGTTGACGAGCAGCTTTTGGCATGATCAAAGCTTCAATAAAACCTGCATTTGGAGTATGTCCAGGAATTGCAAGACTTGGAGTCTGAAACATTCTGAAACCACACTAAAAAGGAAAAAAAAGAGGGGTGGCTTTGCCACTGCTCGTACCTCGTGCCTTCCCATTGATCATTGGCCTTTTTGGAATAGTTTTACGCAGTTTGCAAGTGCCAACACCTTCAGCCCAGGACCTGCTGCCAAATTTGGTGGAGGCCGACCTTCTCTCCTCCACAGACATGTTCCTTGCCGATGGAAAGCTGGTGCTGGAGCAGCCAACGCGGCTATTGGTTTGGGACACCAACTCTGGTGATTTTGGCATCATCATACCGCGACCTTCCATCATTGGTGGTCAGGACACGGATGGGATGGTTTCAAAATTGCTGCGTGCTAAGGGTTCTAACCATGTTCCAAATCCTGTCGCCACTCTTTTCTTGGTGATTTTATAGTGGGGGATATTTTGGACCTGACTGTACCAGCCATCCCAACTCCATCTCTGAGGAAGAGAAACTGCATCCAGTCCAGGCAAGATCTTCAGGCGCTTCCACTCTGGCCTTGTGGGCTGAAGAAGGTGGGTTGCTGATGGGAAGCCCATCACGGAGATTGTGTTAATATTTTGTCCATTTTTGGGTGGGAAATTGGTTTAATTTCTGTTGTTGGAGACTTGTTGGGATCATTTTTGGATCAGGATGGGATGGATGGGATGGATAGTTATAGTTGATGAACACACTTTGTCCCAGGTGGACGGAGCATACATTTTTGGCGCACCGAACCGGAGTGCCACTGAGCTTGCACTTGGTGCCCCCGATTTGTTGGGTTGACGCAGCGTTTTCTTGGAAAGTCCTGGGGTATGGCTCAACCAGCGACCTCCGAAGAAGATTTCATTAGGGGCAATTGCTAATGCGAGCAACATCATTTCCTCCCCAAGGTTTCTTCACAAAAGGCACAGATGTTGCCCACCACCAATACTTGAGCTGCATGTGATCTCTGCGCGATATGATCTACAATATTACTATCGTATACAAGTTCCCAATATAATATATATATATTGTTATTGATATAATTATATCTAGTTCTATTTTTCCTGTGGACCTTCAACGGTGAGGCACCCAGCTGACACAGTGGATCCCGCTTTTGCCACTACCATCACGTGACACCATCACGCTCATCACCTTTGGGGTGTCTGTTGGTGAGGGCCTCCTGGTAGCTTTGGATACGGCCCATGTGCTGCATGTGGCGAAGATGATCCATGACGCCGATGGAGTCCAAGTGAAGGATATCATGGTATCCCCGATCTTTGTGGAGTCTCCCATCACATCCACTGGTGAACCAAGTATTCTTCCATGCTCAGTGGCTGTCAGATGCGGAGTGCTGTGCTTTGTTGAAGCACCCAATTTGGAAGCTCAGAAGCGTACCCTTCATATTTGGCAACTGGCCTCGGAGGGCGAAATTCTGCCAGTTCCACGGCGCCAAACCTTTCAATTTTTTACACGAGGTCAAGCAGCTGTGTCGGTGCCAAAACCCATCTTTGGAAGATTTGTGATTCTGAAAAACTGTTGCATGATGGAAGATGGCGAACCTCTCCTATGGATTGAGATCTTGGACATTAGACAGGTTAGACAAGAGCAAGAAAAGCATCCAAAGCTACGAAAGCTAGACAAGCCTTCAGGTTTGTATCAAGTCTTGACTTCGGCTCGAGATTCTACGCTCTTCCGGCGTGGTCATCCTCTGACTGATTTCTTGCTGGGCTTTTGGAATGAAGAACCTGACACTTGCTTTCGAAAACTGCTTCTTGTGAACCTCGCGCGGGCAGAAGACTGTCAAAAGTGCGGTGCCGAATCACAACCCGGATCAACCCAGTCTGGTTCTTTGGAAAGCAGCCCTTGCGGGAAATGAGCGTTTGGGTTCTGGGTTTGTTTCGGCTGTTTGTAGGATGGATTGCTCACAGGAATGCTGAGCTCTGTAGTGTTGCCCATTTTTTTTTATATTTAGATGCAGTCTGTGAACCACACATCCAAATCCTGGGGCATCGTCTAGCATCGACAAGATTGAATTATGATGAATTATGATTATATTAATTTAAACTTATAGTAAGTCTATAACTATGATTATAGTTATAACTATGATGAATTATGATTGAATCAGGATTACACTTATAGTCATTTGTTTTTTACTCATCTCACCGGAGCATCCTGCCAGATGACTGGCAAACTGACCTCCAAGATCGGCAATTGGTGTGACCCTCATGTCATGCGGCAAGGAAAATCCCAACAAAAACTTGGTAGTTAGTTTTTGATTTGGGTAAGCAGTGGTGACACTGACATTCCTGACCAGAATGTGAGAAGCGTCATTCAGTGCAGACTTTGCGGCATCCAGTTTTTCTGAGGTTCATTTCATTGCCTTCAAGGACCATGCAGATGACCCGCAGTACTTGACAGCAGCCACCCTGCCAGTGGCCTAAGTCACATTAAATTTGTCCCCCTCACGTGGGGAGAATGGCCCATGTATGGCTGCAGAAAAAACATGCTGACTCACAACTCTTTGAGGTCGCATTTGCCGAAGGATATTGTGAAGTACTACATGGGGAACGGCACCAAGTTTGAAGCCCAGTTCTTGTCAACGGACCCCACCGCAGGGTCGAAATTTGGGTGCGTTTGGACTACTACAGCCCCCCAAATTCGTCGTTTGTAGCGTTTGTTGGATACAAAAACATGCGTTTTGGTGGGTTGAATGTGTTATTATAGCACGTATAATCATATATATATATATTATGTTTGTTGTAAAATTATATCATACATACATATTATTATATCATATCATATCGTATTATATTAAGAATATTTTATTTTATTGTATTTTATTATTTTAAATAATGATTCAGACATATTATATCATATTAGTTCATATTATATAAGAATAATAACAATAATAATAGTAAATATATAGATAGTATATAGATAGTTCATAGATAGTATATAGATAGATAGTACATATGTGTTTTATATATTATTACATATGTGTATTATATGTATTATGTATGTATATGTATGTGCATTTGTATTTGTATATGTATGCGTATGTGTAGGTATATGTATATGTATGATTATGTATGTACTTGCATATGTTATATAAAACTATCTGACCCATGGCAGATTTTCTGCTGGCCCCTCAGGCCGCGAGGCCTGTCACGTTTTGAGGATAAAGATGGCAACCCGGTGCCAAAGTATGTGCCCAAGGAGCCCAATGGGCTGGGCTCAGGATGGCGGATTCCATAAATCGAAATACGTTCCACCAATTTGTGGATGAGAAAGCAATCATTTCATGTATAATGTAATTACAGTACACATATTTATGTGCATAGTATATCTATGTGCACAACATTGCACAACTATATGTATCATATAAATCCATCCTCTACTCCACAGATGGGCTGCACATGGCAGGGCCTTCCACGCCCCAGGAGCCTCTTTCTTCACAAACGGTGCCGGTGAGAAAAACAGTCCGAATCCCATCCTCCTCCACGACGCAATCCAGAGATGCGTCAAAGGCCGGCCTCGGCAGCACTCACGGAAGAACCATATAGGATTGGAGGATGAATGATGATTAACGTGATAAATACAACTGAAATCCTGAGATATCCTGAGAGGCAATTGTGGCCATTAATATACTTATAATTACTTGCCACCAGTCATTTCTTTTATATCAACAGTCGGCATATGCAGTGGGTTGGCTTCGCGTGGTGTGTCCTCATTGAGAAATTGCAGCTGCCAGGCGACTTCCGGTGTGGGATCACTCATGAACAGAGGGGCGGATGCAGGCCATGCATTCAAGGAATGGCTGAGACAGTCCGCAAAAATGATGATGGTTGGAAGCCTTTTGAGTCATACTGTCATATTAATATTTGGTCATATTAATATATATATGCCAGTCATATTAATATATGAATATATAATTATATTTGATAAATGAAGGCTTCCGCCAACATTAAAACAGATGGCGTATGTTGTCAGCTACCTGGGCCAGGCACGAAATCGCCGCATCGCTCAACCAGTCACACACCGTCAAGGGCCAAGGCTGCCATCTGGTTATTTGTTACATAGCCATGGAAAGATCCACCATTTTTAATAGGTAAAGCATCTATTTCTATGGGCCATCTATACCATGGCTAAATTCATCACTTGACACTCAGTACGAATCTCAGACATTTTTCATGACATATCACATATATCATAAATCATCAAGCAACACTGAAACATACCGAAGCAACATGCTGTTTCGCTGAGGACTGGATCGAGGCTCCCAAGCCGCTCCAAGGAGTTGAGGCCAACAGGGATGCCTCTGGCCATTTGGCGATGATGAGTATAATATGTTAATACATATTATTGTTGTCAATTACCCTTGTTCTAATTACAACATTGACATTAATTATGATATTAATATTGATTATGATATTAATATTAATTATGATTTTAATATCAATTATTATTATTGTTATCATTATTATTATTATCATTATGATTTGTCATTAGAATTCGCCAATATTCATATTCTTACTCTTATCATTATTGTTATGTATTGCTCCATTGAGTAGCATTTGGTACCGGACTGCACCATCTCACATTCCATTGGGCCGAAGGAGCCTCGAGAATGACCCTGAAGAAGATCCCTTGCCGGATCTTCCGCCGGAAGAGGAGAGTGCTGGCTGCGTGGAACGTACATGAGCCGTTCAAAATACCACTGTTGACCGGTAACATAATTGGATTTAACTTGACCGAGTCATCATTTTTGGGACTTATAACATGTTAGAACCATCAAAGATATGGGGATATCGTTGGTAAATGATGGTTGGTTCGTGAATAATTAGAATGGGTTATACCACCTGGTTTATTGGGCATTATTGTAACCCATCGTAGAAACACAGAATGCACATACCGTTTCAACTAGTCCAATGAGATGGCAGAACACTGGGTTTCTACTCAGTGGAGCTTTTGTACCGGTAGACCCGGTAGGCCGCACCGATCACCAATTTAGAGCGATGACGCGGTAGTCACTGGTAGTCCTGACTGCCCACTTCTGAAGGACTCTGATGACGAGAGGCAGAGGGCCTTAGCCCTGCTATAGCTTCAAGCAGGGTGGAAGTCTGTCATTTTTCCCCATTGGCCCATTGCAACCATCACCATCACCATCATGACTTGTCATCATGGCATCATCTGTCATCAAGCCTTAACCCAAGCCTTGCCATCGTTGAACCAGATCCTTGGCTCAGGGAGGCTCAAAAGCCACCCATTTTCCTGGAGCAGGAGAAAGCGCGTACCTTGCTGGCAGTTTCAATGAAACATGGATGAACGGTGGATCCGGTTGATGAGCTGCTTAAATGCTGGATCAATAGCAGGAGGGTTTCTAAGTTCTTTCAGATATCCTGAGCTGACCTGCAAACAATAACCGAGCTGTGAAAAAAACCAATTGAGATGCTTGGTGGACGAAATCTTTGATATAGCCTGTTTGAAAGCACCTGACGCTTCACACGAGAGAACCAGGCCTGATCAACAATGGTGTGAACTTGGGATATGCAGCTTGGCAGCAACTGGATTTTGCAATATCTCAGATGCCTCGTGGCTTCATGTAAATAGTGTACTGCACACTATAGGATGTAAAGATGTAAGAACTAGTCACATCCATATTGAGGATATCTTGCTGTCAGGACGAATCCACATGACTTGAAGGAAGCATAGGGAAGCAATGCATTTCTGATGAAATGCCAGCACCATTTCAGCTGCCTGTAGGAGAAGTTCCGGATTGTTCGAGCCATTCGGGATGGGTTGCCATCATCAGCGCTCGATGTTACTTGGGCTATGTTGGATATTTTTCGGGCTTGCGTTTATTCACGATTTTCTGGCATTTGATGCCTACACTGTCACTAAGCTAATCGAAGGAAGTTTAGAAGCTAAACTTCCGACAATATGGACAGTTGAAACGCAGAGCAGGGAAGAGGCAGAGAGAAGAGAAAGATTAGAAGAAAGAAGAGGTAGATGCGCGAAAAGATAGGAAAGTCGCGATTCACTGTGTTTTTCCAATGATTTGTGGCTCCGGAGGGTCGAAAAGTAGGCTCCCTAAAGCGGCGGGTGCGGAGCCAGCTGGCCAGATGAGAGATGAAAAATTGCACGCCGTTGTGGCGCGAAGCACATTTCCAAGTCAAAATGGACAAAACACTAGAGGAGCGGACCACTTTTGGACGTTGCGATGTTGAAAAAGTGCACGCCGTTGTGGCGCGAAGCACATTTGGAAGTCAAAATGTACAAAGCACACCAATGTCGGACCACTTTTGGAAGTTGAGATGTCGAAAAAGTGCACGCCGTTGTGGCGAGAAGCATATTTCGAAGTGAAAATGTACAAAACACACCATGGTCGGAGCACTTTTGGAAGTTGAGATGTCGAAAAAGTGCACGCCGTTGTGGCGCGAAGCACATTTCGAAGTCAAAATGTTAAAAACACTAGGGCTGGGTTGTAGTTTTGCGTGTTTAAAGATTTTCCCTCATTTTCTGGGTTGTATTTGGCGGTGGGGATTCGCCGCTGCTGGCGGTTGGGGGTCGCTGCCGCTGGCTGCGGCTGCTGGCGAGCTGCCAGCTCTCCGCGGAAGAGGCCAGGTCCCCGAGCAGAAATTTCGGCAGGGTTTGATGTGGAACGGTGGGGTTAGCGCTGAAGATTCCTGGAGCGCACAGGATATGGTATTTTTTGTTTGCTCGTAAGATCGCATTTTTTGCGCAGCTGTGGTTGTTTCTTAATTTTATGTTTGACTAGTTTGTTGATTTCTGTGTATTTTCGTTTGTGAGTTGGAACGCGTGCTTGCAGGAATGCCAGAATCTATGGTTGCAGGTGGGCAGGTACACGTATGAGCTTGTAATTCTCTGTGAATTTGTATGTGTAGGGCCATTTGTTGTTGTAATCTATTTGCATGTACGTACGTATGCGTGCCTGGACGGATGCCTGGATGTAAGCGTGTGTGGGTGTGCGCATGGATACATGGATAAATGGGTATGGATGCTTGGGCATTTTTATGTATGGATGTACGGGTGGATATTGGTGTTTTTTTTTGTGTCCGCTTCTTTGGACGTATGCCTGCTTTCTTCTTCTATGAGTGTATGATGTTGTGTTTGCTGATGTTTTCTCCAGTGTTTGCTCACCTGAGTGTGCGTTTGTTTGTATGGCTGGGGCTTGGGTATACAGGTTGAAGTATTTTGTGTTTGGATCAACGGTATGCAGTTTAGTTTGTTTGCCCATGTAAACTAGTTTGCTGCCAGACTGGTCCATGCACACGCTCTAGCGCGTCTGCTGCGTGGAATGAAGGCTGAAAGTTAGGTTCTGCACAGGCCAGTTTGGACGGACAAGGGTTAAGAGTTCCTTGAAAAGAAAAACTTTCTTAGCGGACCCTTCGTTGACCATGTATGACCCTTCGGCGCAAGTCTCCGTGAAATTTGGTCGCCAAAGGGTCCGCGCTGTGCGCTGAAGGGTGTGGGGACAGGGTGGTTTCTTGAAACTTTCTTCTTTATGATCTTCATGGGATGCGGTGAAATACGTGCGCAGAAGCAATCCTTGAACGTCTGTATGCCGGGCCTGCGCGGCAGCCATGGAGGTACTTACGATAGCGCAGCTCGATATGTAGAGGAGCACTTGTGCATGAGGTGTTGGCAAGGCCAGGCGTGTGCAGTTGTGGAATTTCGTTTTCCAGGACACTTATTGAGATTGTGGCCCCTGTTAGCCCGCGGTTCTCAATTCTCTTTTCGCTGAAACCATGTATGTTCCTCATTGTGTGGGAACACACTGGTGTACGTTTGTCTCTGCTGCCGCTTGTTGTTTAATTTGCGTTTGGGCACCTGTGCGCTTGTATATCACGATTCCCTCCCTTGTGCGAACGTATGACACGCGTGCATGGAGACATCTGCTTGTTCTATGACGGTCTGACGTTGTGTCTGTCCCCGTCTTTGTTCACATGTCGATCTGCGTGTGTCAGGTACCTGCATATGTACAGTGGAAGGCTTTTAGTATTTGGATCAACGTGTCGCTGTGCTATGGTCTATCCTACCCGAGTACCTCGGTCCCTATGGGCTCATGGGTGCTTGTAGATGGTCGTCGAGTCGTCGTGCGCGGTGCAGGCAGGTACGCAATGTAGTTTGTTTGCCCAGGTAAACGTTTACAAGGCTTGTGGGGTTGTGGTTACCTTCTGGCAGGCTTGTCCATGCACACGCTCTAGCGCGTCTGCTACGTGGAATGAAGGCTGAAAGTTAGGTTCTGCACAGGCCAGTTTGGACGGACAAGGGTTAAGAGTTCCTCGAAAAGAAAAACTTTCTTTGCGGACCCTTCGTTGACCATGTATGACCCTTCGGCGCAAGTCTCCGTGAAATCTGGTCACCAAAGGGTTCCCGCTGTGCGTTGGAGGGTGTGGACATGCTGGCGTGTCTTCCGCATGCAATGTGTTCGGCAAATCAAGCCTTGCTTGTGTAGTTGGCTGTGGAGGTGAGGCTTGCTGAAGACTGGTTGGCTTTGTGGTTTGCGTTATTCTATTTATTTGTGAATGTGGCAGAAAATAGCTGCGCATGGGTGTCTCTGCAGCCGCCACTTTTGATCTTCGTTTGGGTAGCTTTGCTCTTGTATGTGCGGATTGCCCGCCATCTGCGAATGTATGACACGAGTGCAGTGCATGTAATCAGTTTCGTTCCTGTTGGCTTGCAGGATGTTGCGTGAACTTCTTTCTGCTATTTTTTTTTGGCCCCATCTGTCAGGTGAGGGTTGTTAGATTTTAAGTCAGCTGTCCCGTTGTCTCCTCCTCCTCCTCCTCCGCCTCCGCCGGGCCTCACAACTGCAAGCGCTAGATCACAGTTTTCCCCGCCGGACCCGAACAGCAAGCTCAGGATCAGAGTGTTCCCCACCGGGCCTCAACTGCAAGCGCTAGATCGCAGTGTTCCCCGCGCCGAGCAGCCAGGTCAGGATCAGAGTGTTCCCGCTGAGGCCTCAACGTTTAACTGCAAGTGCTAGATCGCAGTGTTCCCCGCCGGACCCGAACAGCAAGCTCAGGATCAGAGTGTTCCCTGCCGGACCTCAACTGCAAGACTGGCCCGAACAGCAACCTCTGGATCAGAGTCGTCCCCTCAGAGTTTTCCCTGATAAAACTGACTCTGTTAGTCTTGCAATGGGACTTGTAGCTGAGGGTTTGCACTAAGGCACGGAACTCCTCCCCTTCCTTCGACTTCTCTCTTGCCCCCTTCCCGAACTGAAGAGAAAGAATAGATGTCAGATAGAATGCCAGATAGAATGCCAGAATAGATGCCAGATAGAATGCCAGAATAATTAGATGCCAGAGAGAATGCCGGAAAGAATGGCCGATATAATTGATATAATGTCGGAATAGATGTCAGATAGAATGTTAGGTAAAATGTAAAAAGGTAAAATGTAAAGGTAACATGGAAAGGTAAAATGTAAGAAAAATGGCAAAAATATGTATGCGTATGTATGCATATATGCCGTTAAATGCCATGGTGGGGATCACTCGGAGTAGAGTAATGATGTGTGTACGTTTCTATGTTTGAACACTTTTTTTTGTCTTGTCTTTTATCCAGAGCCGTGGGCGGTGACATTTTCATGCTTACAACGGTCAGCGCGGAGATACAAAAGTGGCTCGCACCATCAAAGTATATTCTTGGTATTATGTCATATCTTTTTTTGCAATGAGTCGCCACCGATACTGCAGCGACAACCAAAATTAATGGCATTGGATATTTTGTAGATGGCCATGTCTCATGAGCTGGCAGGTGCAGGTACTTCAAGACAAGTTGCCATTGGGATTTCCACAATGCTCCTGGTATGAGTTGGTTTTAACTCTGGGGGTTCGCGACATACTGTAGTCCAAATGCATGTTTCATGCTGTGTAACTCTATGATATTTAATTGTTTTTGGGTCCTCCACTTCTGGGCCTCCTTGTTTGGATGGGCCCCAGTTCAACGATAATGCTATTAAAGAGGCGATCCCACCCCCTAGCCATGGTTTTAACAGCTTTTGACCAGCGATCCATGGTGGGGTGACATTTCTTGTTACAAAGTAATCATAATTGCGATTCATAAAACCATAGGAGGTTATTCCCCGGGTGAGTAAGCTTTAGCCATCATGTTCATGACTTTTCCATCCAGATCGATGATCACCATCGGGGGCAATGATTGTTGCGCAAAATTTTGGGAGTTGGCAAAGCCAAACATATACCGTACTGTGATTTACCTACGGGTCAGCAACAATTTTTTACAAATCAGACAGGGCCACCCGAATTCGTTCTAGAGATGGGAATCAGCATAGCTGGCGTTTTGAACCGTAGCCAGGAGCCACGTATCTCTAACATTATAGTACATGGGTTGAGCACCCCTCTGTTAAAATTCGGGTGCTCCAATCTCTAATAGGTTATGTATTTGTTTGTGCGCTGAAAGAAGATCATCATTTTGGCTGCGCGCTTTTGATGACAATCGTATACTTTTAGGATGGCTAAGCCTTTGGAACTAGTTCAATTTTCGAGCACCACTGGACTGCAAACTCTTTTTGAAGGAAAAGGCCGGAAAGAACGGATACCACATTACACAACTTTATTTTCTTATTGGAAGTTTGCCATTTTGTTTTCTCCCTTTCCCCTGCTTCACCTAGACTCTGACTGCGGTTTTTTCCAGTATTCTTTCGAGCCTTGTTTGGCAGGCAATGCGGTAGCACAGTTTTCGCTAACAACATTGTTTGAAAATTGACCAAAAGCATGCCGCCCTAGCGCTGCAAGGGCCCAGGCGTTGACCCAGCGAAGACAAGATCAAACACCATGAAACATAGTCAACCTCTATCATGAAGCACCTTGTTGAATATGCAGAGTTGCTTCTTAAAGCTTTCTCAATTGCTGAATGACCGCCTTCCAAGATTGAAATGTAATCGCTCATTTCGACCATGGGTTACATGGACATCATTCAGTTTAGGAGTGCCGCTCAACCCATAATGTTTGCAATTTTTGGTGTATACCTCGTCTTGTTCTCCTGCGGCAGATCACCTTAATTTCTTTTCCTCCCGGAAACGCAGTCGTATTTAACATGGTTCCATCGAATACATGGGAAATCATCGCAGACATGGGCTTCAGGCTTAGCGATGCCGCATACAGGGAAGCCGTCTAAAAATCGCTTCAAATTCGCTACTGGCTCTAATTGCAATCCGAAGCAACTCGGTATCTTGTCACCTGGCGTAGGCTTGCTGGAAAGCTGCTGGTCTGAAGGCCCGGATCCAAAACCATGTCAAATCACATCGCCCATGGCTGTCGGAATTTCAAAGCACAGACAGGTACCAATTTGATTCTTATTGTTACGATCGGGAGGGTGCTGAACTTCGTGAAAGCCGGAAAGGGCTTTGATTTAGTTTTGCAAGCAGGATTTGAGTTTTACAAATTTTCAGCTGCATTCATTCTTGTCACACGACAGGATCGCCGCTGCTCTGTGTACGGTTTGGAGCACGAAGGCCAGGTGGACCCACCAAGGTGGTCAGTTTTTGTGAAAACAGGGAAAAAGGAGACAGTTCAGTGCAGTGAAGACATCGATTTTGCAGTAAGTTCGTGTCATGGCATTGGAAGGAGATTCTGCGCCCTTTTCTGGCCTTTTTCTTTTTTCCAGCTAAGTCCTCTTGGCGTTGCCTGGTGCTCATAGTGCTCTTTCTTTTTCCTTTCTTGAGGCACTAGGGCCTTCTTCTTTTCTCCTGGTTTTCTTGGCTTCCGTGGTTCTCTAACTCTAACGGTCTTCCCTTGTCATCCTGGCATTGCGGCTTTTCTTTTTTCTTTTACTCCTCTTGGCGTTGCCTCGTCCTTCCATTTTTCTTATTGCATCCCCTTGTCATGTTGGAATTGCGGCCTTTCTTGTCCCCTTCTGCTTCTCTTGCTGTCGCTTGGTCCTGCTAGACATCTTTGCCTTTGTCTTCCCTTTAGTCCTCCTGGCACTCCTTCATCCGTCTGCCCTTCTGCCATCGAGTGGAGGTTGTTTGGCGACATGTTTGGCCCGCAGCATCTGATTTTTTTGGACTTACGCTGGTGGATTCGGACTTTCAGTTGCAAAGGTCAAAGAACACGAGACAGTCAGCAAAAGTAGAACATTTGAGCAAGGACAGGTGATCGACGACAGGAGCTGATCAAGGACACAGCGTGAGCAAGGACAGGTGATCAAGGACAGAAGGTGAGCAAGGACAGAAGAAGGTGAGCAAGGACAGAAGAAGGTGAGCAAGGACAGAAGAAGGTGAGCAAGGGCAGAAGAAGGTGAGCAAGGACAGAAGAAGGTGAGCAAGGGCAGAAGAAGGTGAGCAAGGACAGAAGAAGGTGAGCAAGGACAGAAGAAGGTGAGCAAGGACAGAAGAAGGTGAGCAAGGACAGAAGAAGGTGAGCAAGGACAGAAGAAGGTGAGCAAGGACAGTGTGCGGGAAATGGAGATGAGTTTTTTTGAGACAAGGTGAGCAAGAACACCACGGAGGATTAGAAGACCACCTTGACTCATGGAAATTGAGCACGGCCTGCAGTGGAGATGAGGCTGTCTTAGAAAAGGTAAGCAAGGGCAGAGAATTTGATTTGGAAACCATGGTGACAGTATTCACGCAAACTGATCAGCACACAGGGCTTGATTGCTCTGTGTCCTGTTTTTCTTGCATCCAACAACGCGGGAAGATGTGAATTTCAATTGTGGTACTTCTAGATTGATGCTAGGGACAGACTTGTGCGAACAGTGCGTGTTGACTTTCCTTTTCATTTGACCGTGACAGATGCGTGTTCTGGCACAGTGGATTCATGGGGGTTATGTTGGCATTGGCCATGTGGTCTTTTTCCAATTAGCTCAATTGTGCTCTGGCAAGCGGACGCCGGCACACATAAATCAAGATGTGTTGCTTAATTGGCAGGAAGGATTTTGATTGCCTACACCCTTGGGAAGGCGGTAGTGTCTGCCAAACCCTGTGCACAGCATCAAGATGGACAGCGCCAGCAGGCGATGCCGTCCGTTTCTGTGCCAAAACACCAAAACATTCATTGCTTTAGCCTTTCCCGTCCTGTGCGACTCCCTCTGCAGCTGAACAGCCAGTGAAAGAGATACTGTTACTTCGGTTGTGTACAATTGTAATTTCGCACACGGATATTTACATGTGTATATATATATATTTATATATGTGTGTATATATATATATATGGCTGTGTCTTTTTTTCAGGTGTGCAGATTTTAGTAAGGGTGGGAAGTTCGAGTTCTGCGAACCATACCCACGAATCATACCCCGAACCATACCCCGAATCATACCTGCGAATCATACCCCCAAAAATCACGATTATGAATGTTTCTTTTGGGATCGTTTGGGATTGCATGGCCTCACTAGTTTTAATGGACGTGACAAGCCAATTGACAAGTGTTGGCCAGATCCGATGATCCCTGGCTGCCTTCACATACCTTCACGACATGAGTGGTGAGGCTGGCTGGCTGGCTAGGTGGCTGGCTGCGTGGCTGGCTAGGCTAGGTGGCTATGGCAATTGCTGCTGCTGGTTGGGTGGCTGGCTATAGGGCTGGCTAGTTGCGGCTGGCTGGCTGCGTGGCTGGCTGCTTGCTGTGTTGTCTGCTATTAAGTAGCAGTTGTGGTAGGTTGACGGTGGGAAAAAGAGACTCAAGCAACAAAGCTTCCTGAATTCCAAAAAAACATGGGTTCCCGAACCATACCCCGAATCATACCCGAATCATACCCGAATCATACCTCAAACTTCCCAATTCTGAACCTTGGTACATTTGCAAGATCAGAACTTGTGTTTTGTGAGCATAAATCTTTTTCTTTGCAACCATTCGCCACGGGCTACACTACGCCTCCTGCTGCTTCTGAGAAAAATCCGGGAACGGCACCCTGCAGTGGCATCCTGCGATGGCACCAACATGCCAACTCCAAAGCGCACACACCACTTTGACTGCAGCACCTTGAAGCAGCACCCTGCAGCAGCACCACCAGCCAGCTCCAGAGCGGACACGCCACTCTAACAGCTGCACCCTGCAGCGTGCAGCACACCCTTCACTAGCACCATTGCACGCAAAATCGATCCCAGGGCCATTGAGACCCATATACTCCATGCATGATATAGATAGCATTAATTAGCAACATTCTGATGTTTTTGGGATTTTGGGACTAAGTATAGGTACATAAAGGGCCGCGAACCATACCCCCGAACCATACCCCGAACCATACCCCGAATCATACCCACGAATCATACCCCCTAGTCAAACTTCCCGGGCCGCACTCCTCATTTTGAGACATACCCATATATATATATATATGTATGTATATATATATATATATAGTCATGGTATTTATTTGTATATATTGTGTCTACATGTATATGTTTATTTGTATATTCATGTCTATATATATATATATATTAACTAGCTCATGAACTCGCCAACCAACCAACCAACTAGCAAACTAACTATCTACCTATCTAACTACTTTACTAACTACCTAAGTACCTAAAAAAGCACCCAACTAAGTACCTAACTAATTCTCTAAATAACTAACGAACTAAACAACTCACGAACCAACAAATGAATAGCCAAAGAACCACCCAATTAAACCCGTACCTAATCGGGGAAAAAGAACCTACTAGCAAACTAACTAACCAACCGACTAGCCAATAAAGTAGCTCACCGAATCATCAGCCAACCAAGAAGCGAGGCCGCTATCTAACAAACCAATTGGCTAACTGACCAAGCAGCCAACTAACTATTTAACTACTTAACTACCTCACTCACCCACTCACCCACTTACTAACTAATTAACAAATTAATGAAGGAGCTAACTGACGAACTGACGAATTGATTAAAAACAAACTAACTATGCAAATAACGAGCTAGCTTCCTAACAAAAAAACTAGCAGATTCAAATATGTAACTTATCAAGTACATATCGAACTAACAACCAGCCAACTGATTTATCTACGCACCAGCTTATTGACTGAGTGACAGAGAAAACTAAGTAACTGATTGACTGACTTGCGGAGTGGCTGACTGACCGGCTTGCCAACTCACTAACTAACCAAAAAACATTTAACTATTTCAATCTGTTTCATGAACAGACTACTTAACAATTTTTAAGTAACTCGCTGACTCAAGGAATAGGTGATTAACAAAATATAGTGGCCCGAAAATAGTTGACGCATGAACGAACTAGCTAACTAACTAACTAACTAGCTAACTAACTAACTGACTAATGGACTAACGGACTAACTCACAACCTAATGACTAAGTAATTAACTCACTAACTAATAGATAGCTAAAGAATGACTAATGACGAACTTCTGACTAAGGAACTAACTGACAAACTGGCTAATTATATAATTGACTAACCCCCTCACTGATTGAGTAACTAACGAAGTAACGGACGAAGGAACTACCTAACGAAGGATCGAACTAAGGAGCTAAACAAAGAACCCAGAGTAACTAACCAACAAATTCAGTAACAGACTAATTCACTAGTTAGCTGAGTAAAGCTCAATCACTACCAAACAAAGTAACCAACCAACCAACTAAAGAACGAACGAGCGAACAAACTGACTTGGTATGTATATAGATACATACTTATTGAGATATTACACACACATATATATATATATCTCTATTTGGTGTCCTTTCAGGCAGATAGAAGGACAGAAAGAAAGGTAGATACAAAGACCGATCGATTGATAAATAGATATACACCTAATCATATTTGCATGTATCTAAATTTATTCTTATATGTATTTGTTTTTTGGTTATATTATATTCAACGGTGTTGCTATAGATGTCGATGAATGTAGACAGCTTTCCTGAAGACTTGGGGGCCGGAATTAACCTCTCTTTTTTCGAAGCATAGTATCCAGACTAAAAGCTGGGCCGGCGACTAGATGGACAGGCTTGCCTGGAAGTGTCAAGTTGCTTGATGTTTGGCGTGATGTTTTTGATGCCGCCTGGTGCGATTCTTTACTTGATGTCGTCCTCAGCTTCCTTTCGACAGAGATGTTGTTAGGCTTTGGTAGGACACCTAGTCGGAAAATAGTTCTGTTGATTTTCACTGACACGTTGCCATATTTCTTGCGGTTGAGCTACATTGGAAATGACAGCAGTGTCAAACCTGAGTGCGCAAAGTTTTCGAGTCGGTAGGAGAACGTTGTGGGCATGCAGTTGTGCCATATTGATTTTGATGCAATGAGAGATCATAAATTCTACGCATGCAAACCGTTTTCGTTTTTGCATTCCCATTTCCTTCCGCAGATGTCAGACCGCTGTGGCCCTGCGGGCATAACCAGATTCATAGCAACAAGGCCTGGGCAGTGGAATAGATGGATGGTGGTTGTTGGTTTGGTCCTGGATGTTTATGCGTTCAATGGAAGTGACTTTACAGCCTGATGCGACTTGCCCCAAGCACTGCCGCCATGCGATGATGTGGTTTTTCTTGGGCCTGGTGTGACTGAGGGGCGAGCCCTCTTATACAATTCTAGAAGCAGTCTTTGTACAGGAGAGAATACGAACTATGTAACAGTCTCACTTTTTCAAGACGGAGGAACTGACATTGTTGTTCGGGGCGTCTTGCTGCAAGGGCACTGCTTGCATCGGAGTTGGGATCAGTCACTGTCTTTTTGAAGAATGAACAAAGTTCAAGGCTGAAGAACGGCTGCAGGAATGTGTCAAACCTAACAGACAACGTGAAACGATTATGTGTCGGTCAGAAAGGCCTGTGATTTTCTTTCTGCAAGCATGTTGCAGTTGTAGTTGGGGTTAGCTATGTTTCGATTCAAACTTTGCCTACATGGACCCATCCTGCCTCTGAACCTTCGGCCCTTTTACCTGGCCAGGTTGCCTTGAGTCTATGCTGCGTCATTTTTGTAGGCGCAGGATACACAGAGTTGGTATCATGTGCTTGCCACACTGACCTAAACTCAAGAGCGAACATATTTTTTCGACGGATGGAAGCTAGTTTGTCGTAGGCTGTGACAGAGCCCGTGAATTTGTGTGTAGCGACACCTGGTTTGCCTTTTGAGATTTTTGTGCGAAACCTTTTTTACAGGTAGCCTTCGCAGATGCCTTCTCCAAGTGTGCCTGCAACAATACTCTGTCGTTGCAGGAAGCCAAGGCTCCAGAGCTTTCACCCTGCCAGCCCTTGATGCCTCAGAAGTGGTTTTCTCACCGCCATCATCCTCATCACCACCATGCGATCACAATCCGCATCATGTTTTTGCTAGCGCTGGGGCGGGGCGGAATAAAGACGTGATGCTTGCCACGTGAAGTTGTACATGTAGCACATGCTGCATGCTACGCTGATGGTGGGGCGGGGCATCTGAAAATGTGTATCTGAAGTTTACGACGTATGGAATGCTAGGCTGGTCAGGTGGGATCGGGTGGTGCATATTAAGGTCCGTTTCAAGTTGAACACTTTGTTCATGCTATGTAGCTGCGGTGGGTTGAGTTGGGTGGGTTGGGCTAAGGTGGGGTGGGGCATGTTAACGTTCGTTTGAAGTTGGACACAAACACATGCTTCAACCTGGATGTAAGCTAGCACTGTTGGCCTTCGCTCAGAGAATTCACAACACCTAAGCGCAAGTCAAAGACAACATTCCAGGAAAGTCTGAAGGGTGAACCAATGTGATGCGCTGCGGGCAAACATGAACTTGGCCGCGCAAGGTGCCGAAACCGAGGCAAAACAGGAATTTCTAAAACACATTGATCCTTGTGGCAAGGGATGGGGCATGTGGCATTTTAACAGACCGTCCGAAGGTTACCTCGCACGCATGTTTATTTGCCAGTGCTTAAGTGCAAAGATGTAGATACCTCTAAGGGCACTTGGTGCCTTTGACATCGTCGTCGTCGTCATCATCACCAGCACCATCATCATCACCATCATCATCATCATGACCATCACAACACCAACACCAGCATCAACATCAATATCAGCACCATTGTCACCCATATCGGCATTCACATTGTCATCAGCATCATCAGCATCATCATCATCATCACCATCATAATCGTACTTCTCATCCTCATCATATTCTTCATCATCATCACCATCACAATCGCCATCGTCCCTGTCCTCTTCAGCCATCATTGTTACCATCACCATTTTAATGATCATCATCTTCTTCTTCTTCATCATCATCATCATCATCAATGGCCAACATCCACATCATCCTCAGCATCACCATCATCATCATCACTGTCGTTATTATCATCATCATCATCAGCATCATCATCATCACCATCATCATCATCATCATCATCACCAACATCCACATCAACCGCAGCATCACCATGATCTTTTTCATCATATTGATCTGCATTTTCATCACCATCATCATCATCACCATCACCATCACCATCACCATCATCATCATCATCATCATCATCATCATCATCATCATCAATGTCCTCGCCCTCATCGGCCATCATCGTTACCCCCACCACCATTTTTCCATCATCATCATCATCATCAACAACAACAACAACAACATCAACATCAACATCCACATCATCTACAGCATCATCATCATCATCATCATCATCATCATGATCACAATCTCCATCATTTTCTCCTTCATTATCGTCACCATCGCAATCATTGAATCATCATCTTCTTGTTCTTCTTCTCTTCATCATCACCATCATCATCATCATCACAATCCTAGCCCTCGTCCTCGTCAGCAGTCATCGTCATCATCGCCCTCATCACCATCATCACCATCATCACCATCATCATCGTCAGCATCATCAGCATCACGGTTATCATTATCAGCATCATCAGATGGATGGTGGCATTTTTCCTCCGAGCAAGACTGTGACCTGCTGGAGAGAATGAATTTTGCTTCAAAGTTGCAATCTCGTGATATGTCGTGTGGCTTGCATCTGTGCTTTGAACATACCACGGAAATGTCCATGTGCCAGGGCAGCATTGCGGCTGGCTCAAGGGTTTTGTCCTGTACAGGTTCACATTTGGCAAGTATAGGTTTGGAAGCAGGTGAGCAGCTGCGGTTATTTCCCTTCGAGGTTTGTGGGAAATGGTTGTCACCCATCGGCTCACCTGCAAGACCAAGCTGCCGAAGCCAGCGGTGAGATTTCAGCCAGGCCTCAGGAAAGCCGCCCTTAAAGACGGACTTTGCCCCAAAGCAAGGCGTCCGTTTGCAATCTTTTTGTCTGAAAATTACAAGTTGAAGAAAGGTCAGGGCACAAAAGATGATCATGCGCGAGAAATGAAGAGAGTCTCCGCGCAGTGGAAGAGTTTGACTGCTGCTAAGAAAGCTTCCTATCGAGACAGAAGTGCTGAGGAAGTTCGCCAGCAGCACATTGCGATGTCCACAGCTGGTGTGTTTTGCAAGCAGCTTCCACAGATGCCATGTCAAACTGACGAGGCTAAGGCTCCCCTGTACTCACAGCAGGTACCTGTCGCTTTGCAGGGTGCATTTAGGCTGCAGCAAAAACTAGGAGAGGGCTCCTACGGAAAGGCTTATGAAGCCTTTTGCAAAAGCACAGGGAAAATTGTGGTGCTGAAGCTCTTCAGTGGCCGCCATGGTCAGACAAACATGCTGCGAGAAACGGATTGGTTGAAACTGCTTGTGTCCGAATTGGGGGATCGCTATCACACCTACTTCTGTTCGGTCTTTGCATCTGACCCTGCAGCAGAGCCTTGCCCATGGTATTCTATGGAACACGGGGGCCAATCCCTCGACAAGATTCTCAAGACATGTGACTTGTTCAAAGATGAAAGGATGGAGCTCCTTGCATGCCAGCTGTCCTGTGCCTTGAGACTGCTGCATTCGAGACACATTTGTCACCTGGACATCAAGCCCGGGAACCTCCTGTGGCTGTCAGAGACACGTTCGTTGAAGCTGACAGACTGTGGCCTCATGGAGTTCACATCTTTCCGCGACAAAAAGGTCACACACTATTCCATGTACGTGACCGAGGGCTACAGGCCCCCAGAGCTCTATGTGAATGAGGTTGATCGCTCCCTGTTGACGCCGGCCATTGACATCTTTTCAGCCGGATCCACCTTGTACGAGGCATGCGTCGGAAAGAACCTCTTCAGGCCATTGGGCAAGCTGGGTAGCATCAAGGACTCAGTGAGCCAATGGTGCATGTTGTGTCAAGACGTGCAGGTCACAAAAGTCCGCACAATGCCTCTGCCGATGGCCCGGGCGAAGGCGCCGACTCCCCAGGAAATTCTTTCTTGCCGTTTGTCAGAGGCAGGGTTGTGGAAGGACCGGATTCGTTCAGCTTGCGCAGCTGCGCCAGCACACCGCACCTTGCCTGCGTAGATACTTGAGAACATGTAATTTTGTTTCACCAGGATTTCAGAGAAGGCTTGGGAAAGCATTCTCTTTGTGGCCAGATGTGACATGCTTTGGGAATAGCGTGAAAAGTTGATTCGTGTCAGCAGTTTAGAAATCCTAGTTGTCAATTGCATTCCAAGGTTCTTGTAATCCATTTCTTTTTGCCCTGCGTGATGTCTCACAAAAGGCCCAGAGCATCCGAGAGGTGCCGTGGGGCCTGGTTCCGTTCTGTGATAGTGGATTACCTCTTGATCTTTCAAAAGTCTGCGAGGTACATGTTGCCCAGAAATTGGAACAAGTTCGTACCTTTTCACTTTTCGATATGGAATGAATTCGGGTGATTAATGTATCAGAAAAATTACCTGGTTGTCTTTCAAAAATCACCGAGGTAATTCACAGAAGCAAACTCCAAAAGTTTTCCTCGCGCAATGATCTCTGGCTTAGTACTGGAACTGGCAATGACCGGTCCGCCGGATGGCCGGTGTAGGTTGCTGCGAGCAGCTGTTCTGCGATCTAGTGCCAGATGGCTTCCACACAACTTAGGCCAGACGCCTTACTTGACTTCTTCCTTCACGCAGAAGATAGCCACAGACTGTAGCGGCTTGGATACCCCAGCTTTTGCAGCCGAAGCATGCGAGATACCCTTTGAACAGCCGTATCTTGTCTTAGCCTATGTATTTTTCTGCATTTCAGAAACAAGCGTGTTCCAATTCATATCACTATTTCTTTGGTGTGTAAGCTTCTGTGCCGCACAGCCCTGGCAAGGTTTGCCAGTGACAGCAATCCATCTGTCCGCAAGTGGCTGAAAGAGAACGGTCGAGCTAACGTGATCTTTGAGGACATCCTGGCTCGGCCCGTGTCCTCGCTCCCTCAGAATGTCACCGGCTATGTGGCTGGATTTCCATGCCAGCCATACAGCAGGCAATCGACAGTCCGACGAGCTTTCAGAGACCCTAGAGCAAAGGTTTTCTTTGCTGTCCTGAAAACAGCTGGTCACCTTCGACCTGATTGGATTGTCTTGGAGAATGTCGGCGGCATTATGAATTACAAACGTCAGCTTCTGGCAAGCTTCAAACGCTTTGGCCTGCTGGATGACTATTTGCTTTGCGTGCTTCCTCTATGTCCTTCCGTGGCATTGCAGGAGCCTCATAGACGTCCCCGGATCTATTTTGTAATGGTTCGCAGAGATGCGGCACTCACCTCTGAAAAAGGTGTCATTGCCAAGTTTTTTGCAGAGACTATGGTCGAAATCAGGCAATCCTTGCCGGCAAATCAGTTGACAGATTATTTGGATGCAGGGGCAGTCGCCCCAGCATCCCAGGCAACACGTTCAGGATCTGCAAGTCGGTATGGAGCAAAATGGGTGAAGAAGCACAATGAGGCTCGACCGGGATTGGGCCTCCCACCTTCAGCATACAGTTCTGGTTCTGCATGCGGGTTCTTGACACCCCGGGAAAGTAGCGCGGTTGAAATGGTGCTAGCTGCCAATCGAGGCAAGCAATTTCCATGCGTGCTGGATGTGTCTCAATCCTATGACCGCATGCCTGTTGGATGGGGATTTGTACCCTGTTTGACAACCAGTTCCAAGCTTCTGCTGGTTTCTAGTGGCACTAGACGCCTGCTTTCGGCGGCAGAGAAGTTGAAGCTCCTCGGCTTGCCAGCCAAAGTGTGCTCTTCTCGGGCAGTTGGAGTGTCCGCTTTGCACGCCATGGCTGGCAATGGCATGCATCTGCGGGCTGTTGGATTAGCTATGATGTTAGCCATGTCGTTGACTTCAAACAAGAAAGTTGCTCAGTCTGCAGTTGTAGACCATAGCTCTGGCCCTTTGATCTTTCAATGGAAAGCTGCGCGTTTAATTCTCGCAGAGGGTGCTGGACAAAAAGTTGCACGTAGAAGGAGCGGTAGCAAGAAGAAAGCCAAGGCCAAAGATAAAACAGGTTCGTCCCGGCACCCGTGTCGCAACAGAAAGCCAAAGGCTCAAGCCAGAGTACCGGGTGTCCAGCGGGTCAAACGTTCGCTGTCGGAAATCTACAGCTAGGTAGGTTGTTTGGATGCAGCCATTAGAAGTGGCTCAGCGAGAGACGGTGAGACACACAGGTCCCAAAGCAGAGCGGCATGCCAGGATGTTCCTTCATTCACACTCACTGCGCTTGTTTCCAAATTGTTGGGAAGTTTCGTTGTAAATGCTTTGCCGGGCCCCACAGAAGGATTGCGTTTCCATGTCCGAGCGCAGATTCTATATTTTTTCCATGTGCCGAGCGCAGACTGTTTCGGATCAATCCACTATAATGAAAAGGGGTAGAGGCCTAGACGAACTGTACGGCAGCGGAAATGGGACCACCAAGAGACACAAGGCCAATGGGCCTGCCGAAGGAAGCTGCCGATTTGTGAAACAACCATGGCAGGCGAAAGGCAGCCACCAAGGTGTGAAAAAGCAGAGCAAAACTCAGCGGTCCCAGCCGCAAAGGAACAGGCCGCTCGCCATGTTACTTAGGCGAGACCAACCCCAAGGGCACATGGAGCACCGGAAGTTGCATCCTGACCCGAAGCACTTTGCTTCGAAATGCCCTCGTTGCAAATACCTTGTGCATCGGCAGTCCTGGCGCCAAAGCATAGCGTCTGTGCAGTAGCAAGCAGATGATTTGGCTCAATGAGAAGCCCGCGCGGCTTGGTCTTTCTTGGGGTATTGGCTGTGATGTTTGCGCATCTATGCTGGCACGCTTGGTGGCGCACCCTTCCGATTCATGTAGCCCCAGCAGTGCCTCCAGTCAGTCTGAGAAGCTGAAGCGGCGGCTGAACACCAAGTGGGGCCGCTACGAAGTCTGCAGCATGAGCAGCATGCAAGCGAGCACCATAAGGACAGAGTTTGTAGAAATTTCAGACCGCACGCTGAAATCTTTATTTTTTGCAAACATTCAGGAAACATAGCCTCTCCAGTGTGCACCGGACAGCTTTGCATTGTTTCCTCCATCCTGGCCAAGCGCACATTGGCTCTGCACCTGCTTCAGCCATTGAACGTGACATGGAAAATAAAAGCCTTTTTCCTACTTTAGAGCACCCCAAGTGTTTACGAAATCAGAGAAACATGCAATTGAAAAAATGCTCCAAGAATCCCTGGTGGCAAGTGGCAACAAGTTCTTTTGTCATATTCGAACTGTAAGGTGACGGCTTTGGCGGTGCAGTGCCACAGCTGGAAGAATATTTGCGGGTATGGAGGTATGTGAAGTCCTCCCAGTCTTTTAAGAGCATGGAAGCCACCACTTTCACAGAAGCTTTCATTAGTCAGAAGAGAGCCGAGCCGCAGGAAGTGAAAAGGCGAGCGGTTGCTCAGATTGTGAAAGTTTTGCGGGAGCAAGTCCGTCGCCGGAAGGTCGCTTGCTTACTCCAGGCCACCACCATGACCATCGTTGTGGACGACAAAAAGGATCACCGAGCGATTCTGTTTCACAGCAACTGCGGCGCCGGACTCGTTCAGGTCCTTCGGATTGGTGAGTCTTCAATTGCTGCCCATGAGGATGACTATGCGGCCCGCATGGCTGATAGCATAGACCGCGGCTTGCAGCTGCTAGCTACCCCATTGTTTGGTGATGCGGACCCTTGGGTGTACACCCACTTGAAGGAGATATTTCGCCACTTCACAGCTGATGGATGCCCAGCTGCGCAGAAGGCGGGAAGAATCTTGACCGAGACATTCCCGAATTTGACGCTGGTACACCGTGATCACTGCCATGCGATCAGGCGAGGCATGGGCCACCTGATGTGCTTGGTTTTTCTTTCTGATCAGTTCTTCAAAGAGTTGGTTGTGTGACCGCACATTTTTTTACAGGGAGAACCATATTGATTACTATTTACTTCGAGTGATCCCCACCATGGCATTTCAAGCCATATATCCTCACATATATTTGACATATATTTTGGCATTTTGCCTCGCATTCTATCTGCCATTCTTTCTGACATTCTATCTGGCATCTATTCTGGCATCTTTTTTGGCATTCTATCTGGCATCTATTGTGGCATTTTATCTGGCATTCTATCTGACATCTATTCTGACATTCTATCTGGCATTCTCTCTTTGACATTCTCTTCAGTTGGGGAAGTGGACAAGAAGGGGGCAAGAGAGAAGTCGAGGGAAGGGGAGGAGTTCCGTGCTCTAGTACAAACCCTCAGGTACAAGTCCCATTGCAAGACTCACAGCATTGTTTTATCGGTGAGCATTTTGATCCAGAGGTTGCTGTTCGGGTCCGGTGGGTAACACTGCGCTCTAGCGCTTGCAGCTGAAGTCCGGAGGGGAACACTCTGATCCTGAGCTTGCTTACTGCGATCTAGCGCTTGCAGTTGAGGTCCGGCGGGGAACACTCTGATCCTGAGCTTGCTGTTCGGGTCCGGCGGGGAACACTGTGATCTAGCGCTTGCAGTTGAGGTCCGGCGGGGAACACTCTGATCCTGAGCTTGCTGTTGGGTTCCGGCGGGGAACACTGCGATGTAGCGCTTGCAGTTGAGGTCCGGCGGGGAGCACTCTGATCCTGCGCTTGCTGTTCGGGTCCGGCGGGGGAAGGCTGGGATCAAGCGCTTTCAGTTGAGGTCCGGCGGAGGCGGAGGAGGACGAGGAGAAGGAGGCGGTGGGACAGCTGACATAAAATCTAACATCAACCCTAACCTGACAGGTGGGGAATCATGGTTCCATGCTTGCCCGGAGGTTGTGTGCAGAAAGGCCTTGTCAGGCACAAGAGACGTGGGCTGAAGTCCGCGATCTTCTCTTTGGGTCAGGAGGGCTTGTACCGGAAGTCATGAATTCTGTGGAGTGGAGAAGCAAATTCTGGGCAATTCAAAACGATGTGCCTCGACTAAGGCGGTTATCATTGTCAATATGGCAGTGTTAAATGTGTTGTATAGGTATGAGCATGGAAGGTAGCAAGCATGCAATTCTCTGACCTGACACCTTCTGGGCTCAGGTACAAGCCTGCGAGGGTTGGCGCAAGCCTTTGACAGTCGCTTGAAGCATTTGAACTTCTCTCAGGTTCGATGGAACTCCCAGGATGCGCCTTTGAGGCGCTTTGCCGCGATGATTGTTCCGATTGCCTTGCTTTTGGCCATCCAATCCCAGGACAGCCGCCAAAGTCGTGCATTCCGGGCGAAGTGTGAGCAGATGCTGCAGAGGTTGACCCCTGACCTCCTGCTCACTGTTGGGATTGCGTCCGACTATTCTTCAGAGATGCTCCGCTTTCTCCGGCAGTTCGACACAGCAGATCATGACCCTGCCAAGACGCATCGGCAGAAAGCAGAAATGTTGCACAGGCCAGGCCAGCTCAGCCCCGGACAGTTTTCAAGAAAGGGTTGAAATTGTCAACTTGTTAACTTGTGTTCTGGCCCGATGTTGGGAGGCTGAAAGTGCTTTTCTTTCAAAACCACATCTTCGATGAGGCAGAAGGTGTGCAGACAGTGACCCGCTTGATCTGTGAGCAAGCCATGGAATGTCCTCCAATCCATTATGGTCCACACGTGCATGAGCTGTGGCCGGAAACCAGGAAGAATGACATCAAGAAGTGTGTGTACAGTATGCACGCAGTGGTGGACGCAACCATGGCTGAAATCGATTCAGAAATCAGAGGCTTTGCTTTGGATTTTGCTGTCTTCGACTTGGTGTCGTTCCATCATGGAAAGAAGGATGCGGCTGCCTGGAAAAATTTTGAGATGCTTACCAATGCACGTTTGGAACGGCTTTTGCGTTCTGGCCTTCGTCATCCTGATTGGGCTGCGGCTTGCAGGGAGTGGTGGGCAGCTGCCCACCAGCTCCACGAAGACTATAAGGACTCTTTGCGCGGCGGGGAGGAGGTGGACAACCGAAAAGCTTGGCAAAGCACCCTTGCAGCCGATTTTGCGGTGAAAGTGACAGAGTCTGGCAAGTTCCAATCCCTTTCCACACTTGTAGAATACTACTTGGGCTTCCTGGACACAAGCACTGGTGCTGAGCGTGCTTTGTCAAAGCTTGCCAAAATCCAGGCCTGCCATCTGGGGCCTCTGGAAGATAGCGGCGTGACCGTCAGCATGCTTCTTGACATCGCCATGGATGGGCCGGAGGAAGAAAAAGACTTTTGCCATAGGTCTTTCTTCGAAGGCGATGAGGTGCCGCAGCTGCGAGCTACTGACTTGAGCCTAGAGTTGGCTGACATTTGGCGTTCTGCATTTGGCAGCCGCTTCAGGCTGTACAAAACACGGAACGACAAAGGGAAAGCCCGTGCCAAAAAGGAGGGAACAGAAGTCAGCATTCTGCGTTGCCAAGCACAAGCTACTGACAAGCTGGTGCGTGACATTTCCAAACAGGTCTCAGCTAAATCGCTGACTGTGTTGGGTTTATCCCGGGACGCTCTACCGCAGCACAGAGCCCGGGAACAGAACCCTGCACAGTGTAGCTTGGAATCTGTTTATGCTTCTGCGGCCAAACGAAAAGAGAAAAAGGACGAGGAGAAAAAGCAAAGGTCGTTGCATCCAGAGAAGAGCTGTTACCAAGCCAACCGGCGAACCTGCCAGCTGCTGTCTAGACAAGTGCCTTCAGAGGCTTTTTTCTACGTCAACAAGATCTCTTTGCAGGTCTTGGATTTGTGTCCTACTCCTCTGAGAGACAGCGCCCAGCATGGTTCTACGACTTTTATCCGGCTGGCGGTCGGCATATCCATGGTGGACCTGATCAAATCTGTGCGCAGGGCACACCTGGTGGTGATACCTTCTTGGCGCACCTTGCGATGTGTCCCAGATTCCAAAGCTGTGGCGTCCTAGCCCCAGTATTTTTGTGCGCGCGACCAAAGATTCCAACAGTAATGAATCATCTCTTGGTCGGGCAGGGCCTGTCCTAACTCCAGTGTGGCTTGTATCTTGATGCCATCTTACATCCTATATCTTTATACTTTATACCGTGATGTCCATCTGACTGCTCCTCTTTCTGTTTTTCCCTCTGCTTGCTCTCTTGACTTATTGGCTGCTGCTGGAGTTTTCAATGGTCGGAAGTTAGTGTTCTAACCGTCGCTCGACGACCTGAGGTATCTCGCATCCATATTTGTGCATTTGTTTCTTTCAATACCGACCTCATTCATATAACCTGCCACTTTAGCGTGCTGCTTCTTGCCTGCCCGCATATAGTGACACACCAGATCTTCTATTCGTAGTTTGCGCTTGGAGTCTATTGCAGTTTGCCTCTTGTGGATGGCTCGTTGGATTATATGTATATGTATACATCAAAAAAGCTAATTAGTGTGGAAACACACACACATATATACATATATATATACACGTATTTGCATAAAAGCAGATGGACACACACACATATATATATAATTATATATATGTGTGTGTGTGTCTCTCGCTCTTTCTCTCTCCCCCCCCGCTCTCTCTCTCTCTCTCTTCATCGTGCTTGTCCAATCTTTTTCTTTTGTACATCTGTCCTGCCATTGCTTCAGCGATTGAGCCCTTCTTTCCTCTAATCAGCTTATTCAGGTGAGCGTTTGTTTTATGTTATCAGTGAGTTTTCTCTGAACAAGTCGATCTATCTTCCGATTGCTTCGTCACTTCTGTATCTATATGCGTCAGGTGTATTCCATACTCTGTCTTTTCCTCTTCTATACACGCTTCGCGTTTGTTGGGCTAGGCTGTCATGCATCTTCCATCACATATGAACTGAGGCCTTGGTTTCACAACGCCTTCTTTTGTGCAGTGGCAGTGGGCAAGCCGCTCATTGAGGCCGAGGTCTTCGCCAGGAATGGCGCTGCTGAGGTACATAGACCTGCCCTGTGGACCAAACGCTTTTTCTCCATCACTTCTGACTTCCAGCAGAAGCATCCCTCCAGTGTGCAGATGATGGAGAGATTGGTCACTTTGTGACTTGTCATGATTGAAAGGGGGCTGGATTTGACCCTTCGGCGCAACAAATCTACCCTTCATTGGGTCCATTTGCTGAAACTCTTATTTTAAGGGTCTCCTAAGTACGTTAAAGCGTCGTCACGGCTCGTCTGAGGCCTAACTCGATGTGGAAGATCGGAGAGGGTCAGCCACAGCTTGTTTTGAAACGAGCGAAAGACATTTTTCTGTCTGCGAAGCAGATTCGGGAGTGTGTTCGGACAGGGGTAGAGCATCCAGCTTTGAAACCTTGTCCCAAGAAAGACTAGCTGCAGGGGTAGTGCAGCAAAAACAGAAAGCAGGTCGGTTGCTCCTTCATGTGTCATGGTGCAAGTTTGTACCACCTACTTGAAAATGGTAATGTTTTCCACCAGACTGCTTGCATACAAGCTTCAAAGGTTGCCTTTTCCTTCTCACAGGTACTTCTATCGAAGATAATTTGACTTTCCATAGGTTTTGGCTCTCCCAAAGTCTCCTAGACGTCGCAACTTGTTGGTTTAACTGGGTCTGGCTGGCGTGTCCATGCCGCCGAAAGAGAAAAGAACGGCAAGTCAGACTGAGACTCAAGCTGCGGCAGCAAAGAAGGCAAAGACTGGTGAGGCTGCAAAGACTGATGTGCAACCTACACCTGTCCAGCCTTTGGTGCCGCCCGCTGCGAGTGCAGCATCAGGGAGCGTGGGTGTGGTTGAGTGGCCGTCCGAGGAGGATGCCAAGACCACTGACGGCTTCGGTATGTTGCGTAAAGTCATTCCCTTTGCAACTTGGCCGCCCTATCCGGTTATATAGCGTCTTCGACGCGTTACATGAAAGCCTTTCTTTTTGTCGTCAGCGTCTTGACCAGGTAAAAGCAAAGCTGCCAGAGCTTCTGTTTAAATTGAACCTCGGAAAGTCTGCTGCGACCCCGTTGCATGAGCATGAGCCCTTGGATGTTGGCCTGGCTTCGCAGCAAGACGGGCATCCTGACTGGCCAAAGGGTGCTGTCTGTTTGTTTTTGTAAAATTTGGGCGCGGTTGGGTGTCCCTTATTGGAATGTATCTGTTTTCTAAGGTACAAAGAAGAGATGTGGCGGCCCAGCAACGCTGCCACGTGCTTGCAGAATGGTCTCTATGAAGCAGGTGGTGTCGTCACCTGGTTGAACCCGCTTGACAACAGTTTCCTTGACGTGGACTCACCTAGCTTTGACCAGATTCTCACTTGTGAGAAGCGCTTTGTGCCGCAAGATTTCGATCAGAAGCAGCGCATTCTTTTCCCCTTTGCAGTCCATTGCTTTCTACCAGAAGGTAGCGTTCCTGACCAGAACAGCTTTCCAAAGACTCTTTTTGTGATCGCTGGACACGCCATGGTTGCCGCTTGGTGGGTGACTCGCATGAAATCATCACCAGGGAAGAAATGGGACGTCTAAAGACGCAACACGCCAGGGTTACCACTTCATCATCTACCGTTTATAGCTTTGAATTGCAACCTAGGTGAAGATGTGCCGCGCCATCCAAGCTTCGGACAACGATTCGGTCCAGTTGCTTTGGCAATGTGGGCGGAGTGTGACTTTGACATGTGTTTCTGGTGGCGACAAGACGTATTTGCTGCAACGCAGCCTCATGGCCTCAGAGGATTACCAGACAGCCAGTGAGTTGACTGACACTTGGAGCCATTGGGCAGCAAAGGTGAACCAGTTGCTCAGCACCTTCTCCAGCAAAAAGCCAGCTGAGCAAGAAAAGTTTCTCAAGGCACGGGACATTTCCTTTCGAGGTGCGCAGGCTAGCAAGGCTTTGGTGAATGGAATTGTCGCCATGCGCCGCTTTTCGGCGGAATGCTTGGAAGGCTTGAAAATGATCGACAAGGAGTTCGGAGTTGCTGTGTTCAATTCTGGCTACGTGAAGTTGGTGCGTCTGTCGCAAATTGCTGCATCACTGCCTGCAGAGGCATCGCTTTTTCAAAAGCCGGGGGTGACTGACTCACACGGATTGATAGCGAATTTTGTTCCCAAGTCCCAACTTAACCGAACCCAAATTATAGGTTTTGAGTTTTTGCATGGGCTGCCAGGTGATCGAAGATGCCCTTTTGTGGGTGCTTCATGCGGCTTATGTGGCATTGAAGCGTGAGCAAGCCCAGCCAGCATTCTTCACCTCGAAGAACTTGGATGGAGGCAAAGATGCAGGGGGCTGGTTCCATGTGACCTTGTCGAAATACCTCCTTCTTGAGCACATGATCCACGTCGTGGAAACGTTGCAGGTAGAGTCTTCCAAGGATTTGCTAGCAGCCCTCCAAGCCATTCGGAGACCTCTTCTCTTCCATTCTCTGTACCCAGTTGATGCAGAGGAAGATCATGGTCCACTTCTTGCCGGAGCCAGCAAACGTTGGTACGGCTTGGCCTTGGCTTTGTATTTGAACGAGTACGATGAGTCGCTCATCAAAATGTCGAAGCTACTTGGCTTTTCTGGCGACAGTCAGCTCATGTAAGGGTTTTTGTGATACGGTTCCAGCATAGGTCATGTCGCATTTGATGCAGCAAACCTGAAAATCAGAATTGGAATTTGCATGCATGGGCAGGTGCTCCATAGTCTGGAAGCTCGCCTAAAACATGCTGACTGAACTAATCCCGCTAGGTTAATTTTTGCGGGCCGGAAATTCCCAGTTTAGACACCATATGCATTTTTCCAAATACAAATAGGGTTCGTATCGATATCCATTGTCCCACACCAGGTGTCCCGGCTAAAGTTGATATACAATCTATTTGTCCACTGCCTTGCTAGCGGATTATCATCATCTTACCATTTTAAATAGCTTTTTCGATTCGACAGGATTCGACCATCAGCATCAACATCTAGATTACGTGCAGATGTACTCAAGTAGATATGTTTTGTCGAGACAGCTCTTTATTCAGCTGAACCAAACTGCTGCTCGAGAAGAAACCTGGTGAATTCAGCCTTATGAATTCTTGGTTTCTAATTCTCACGTCACCATTTTCTTTTGCTTCCTGCGCAGGAAACCGGGTGTGACGGAGATTTTGTATGACGGAGAGAGTTCGTTCAAAGACTTGGACCTTCACCAGGAGTGGACGGCAGCACTGGCAGAGCTTGGCAAAGTTTCAGAGATCGTGCAAGTTTCTGAGACTGGAGCGCCCAAGATGACAGTTCGCACACTCGCCAGGATGTCTAGCGACCCTGACACAGACCTTGCCACACAACGCTCATGGCTGCAGAAGAAAACGAATGACTAGACATCACCATCATCCAAGACACATCAAGACACTGAGACAGCTGCATTAGGAAAATTAGGGGCTCGAGTGTTCAAAAACAATACGCAAGGTGATTTTGTTTTGCTTCCGTTTTGTCAAGTGGCAGGTGAGCGGCGGCAAAAGGAAAGAGATGAGATTTGGCGCCAGGCGCAGGCTTTGCGCAAGAAAGTCGTCAACTTGGCTTTCGGGCGCACAGAAGGAGATCTGAACGCCCTGTGGAACAAGCCCGTGGCAGAGGAAGTGAAATCTTTCGCTGGGGAGTTGAACGAGTCGCATCGTTTGTGGGTGTTGTCCACAGAGTTGCTTGAAGAGAAGCAATTGACGCCTTGGAGCGCCATTGGAAGTCTCACTGACAAAGGCGATGCCAAGAACTTGCTTAAATTCATCCAGAGCAATGCGATCAAGCCGTTCGACTTCGTGCTTGTCTGGGATGGCCGCTCACTGGCCAACCGGAAGTTCCTAGATGAAGAGCTCAAAGTTTTGCAGAACGCCTCCACCAACACGGAGCTTTGGATTAGCTACAAGGGAGCTTCTCGGGTTGGCCGTCGAGTTTTCGGAGGTTCTGTGACCAAAGAGATTGGCTACCTGAAGTCCAACGTTGCGAGGGTGCGGCTGTCAACAAAGCCACGCGAGGACTGCTGGCTAAAGCTGCCAGATCATCCAACCATGCTTGCATATGTCACACGGGTTCCCTCAAGTTAGTCGGTTTGCACAATATTTTGATGCGCAGAAAAAAATTGGCTGTTTAAAAAACACTTTTTGTCAACAGGACAAATTTGTGGACAAGAGTGGAGGCGATGAGATTAGCACCTATGACACTGGCTTTGTTGGCGTTGACCTGCCTGTGCTGACATCTTTGCCGCGCATGTTGGAAGCCGAAAAGGAGCAAATCTTGGGCAAGAACAACAGCGGGGCCAAGCCAGCTGCGTGGAGCCGTGCTGGTGTTCCACTCTTCTGGCAGGAAGCAAAGTTCTGGCCTCAGCTGTGCTTTTACAACGGGTACAGCTGATAGGCCAAAGGTCAGTAGCATTCACCATCATTCACCTATGTACTGTATGCTTATTGCTCGTCCAATTTTCTTTTTCTATCAAACCGCTGTGCCAATCCTCATTTGAACTTAAGCTCCTAGAAGGGGATGGGAACACCCTCTGAACATCGAAATTTCCAAGGACTGAGAGCTGTTGGGAAGCCATCATCGGCCTCACCGGTGCAAAGTGCATCATTGATGCCACGGCAGGCAGCGGAGCCTTGGCTAAGGCTGCCATGCGTTCCAACTTGCAGTACCTCGGAATTTGCAAGAACAAGTCCCACATGAATTTCTTGCAGAACGTCATCGACATGCACGCCATTCGCTGCCTGTCCCAAAGTTCCCATCCGCTGTACCAGCAGTCGCTCAGTGACTTGCTGTGCGAGCACTTTCACGAGGAAGTTAAGGGCCAGAAGGATTCGAGTGATCCTTTGACGCCAGAGGAGTTGTTGGCCTTGCAAGGCGAAAACGAAGTCGCCTGAGAGCTACCTGCTTGAGCTGGCCGGGAAAAAAATGCACCGACAAGACCGGCAATTTGGAAACACTCTGAATTGTTCACACTTTGAAGACGAGTTATCTGGATTAAAGCCAATTATGGGGCAAAAAATCTGCCACGATGCAAACCCTTTGGCAATTTTGGATAGCATTTTATAGCGAGTAGTGTTGGAATTTGTGGGTTGCATTTATGTTTGGAGAAGCCACATTTTTGTGTTTGAACCAGTACAACGTAACTCGTCAAATCCCAAACCAGGTTCTTGCGGTGGTGCAATATCTACAATGCTTTAATTTTGGTGCCAGTGATAATCAGCTATTACCCTGGATATGGCAAATTCTTTCACCGGATGTTTTTGAATTGATAAGATGACCAGGACACCATTTCCATGCTGTGCTCAAAGACACTAGTGCCTTCATTCATGAAGTGCTGGCGGGCTAGGATGGTAATCGCAAAAAAAAACACACCAGATTAAAAGGCAACAACTTGCTGCGTTAGGATATGACATGGTCACCGCTTCAACATGCGCAACGCTGCAGGTGAATGATCTGGCGGCCGGCAGCCTTGCGGTGGAGAGATGGATCTCCCGAACCCCTTAACCCACACCCTAACCCTTAAGATTTTTCACCCCAGGGGAAAAGACAACCTAGAGGGGTTCGGACCACTTTTGGAGGCTCAGAGGTCGAGTTTCGAAAAAGTGCACGCCGTTGTGGCGCGAAGCACATTTCGAAGTCAAAATGTGCAAAACACCAGGGGTTCGGACCACTTTTGGAGGCTGAGATGTGGAGTTTCGAAAAAGCGCTGCTCTCAGTGGCTTCGCTCTGCCATCCCTGATTCACAACAACCAATCTCTCCTATAGGTTTCCTATTTTTGAAACTTCCGCCACCGCCTTGTGCGGTACTACTGGTACATGCTACTACTGCCATCAGAACCCAACATCGGACCAACACTGCATACCCTTGCTCACTCTGACAATCTGGAAGCGGCTGCATCGGGAACTCAGGTTCTTGTAGACAACATCCTGCTTCTCGACTTGGGACATTTCGAAAAGCACACGCATTTTGGGGCCCAGCCAGGTATGGGGTTCTTGGCTTTTGGCAGTGTGTCGTTGTGTTGCTGTCCATGCCAAGGAATGGCGGCTACGGAGGAGCTTTGAGCTACAGAGATGCTGCTCTTCAAGCGCTCTCAGACGACGCTTGCCCCACCAGTCGAACCCACCCCCTGCTGAAATGTTTGTCAAATTTGGGCGTTCTGTTGCAGAAGTGGCCTCCGGATATATTATACATTGGATAGAATGCAGAGATAGCAGGTGCAAGCTGAGAGCGTTCAGAAAGTCAACAGCTTCTCGATGGCGGTTGAAACTCTGAGGCCGATTTTCTGGAGCTGCCTGGCATTAAGAATGGCGGCAAGAAGACTGACATTTGACTGCAAGCCCCAGTGATGTATTTGCATTCAGCATATTCAGAAAGCCCAAGTCGAGGAGTTGATGCATCATGCCTAAGGCATATGGCATGGCAGTGATAATGCAGTGATATATATATATAATAGGTGGTTGAAAAAAAACGTGAAATCATGGTAAAGCTCCAATGTTGGAGGGTTTATACACCATTATATACACCCGATTCCGGATGATATTGGGGATGGTTTCTTTGGGTATCACATCACCATGGCAGCTTCCTTTCCCCTGCACGGCCTAAGGACGAGCTTGGGGAGATTTTGGACAAGAGCCGTGTGAGGAAATTCCGCTTTGGTGCAGAGGAAGATGAAGATGACGTAGACTACAACATGCGGTCCCTAGATGTTTGATGTTCGCCCATGGTCAAAAAATTGGTAAATCCGCCCACACCGCTTTGGCGGTGAAGGCGTGCTTATTGGGGGGCAAAACAGCAACACTAAATGCTCAATGACATTTGTTAATATAGCAGTCGCTATATCAGCTTTAGCTGGGGGGGGGCAAAAACGGTTTCGCACCGAGACCAGAATACGGTGGTGTTTTCGACATTTTTTGAGGATTTTTGGGTGTCTGAGCGCAAGAGGGTATTGAAATGGAATTTTGGATCATTTTGGTAGCTTTCCGGCAATGGAAAAACGGCCAAAAATGAAAAAAACATTGTACATAGCAAGATTTTGCAGGGTTTTTGGATGCCAGAGCATTGAAAACACTGCAAAAACAAGTGTTTTGGACTGACGTTATAGCAAAAAACGGGTAAATTACCGTATGCTTGACTGGAAACATTACAAAAACACTGTCAAAAGCAATGTTTTGGAAGGATTTACTGCCTTTATGGCAAAAAACGTGTAAATTACCGTCTGTTTGACTGGAAACATTGGAAAAACACTGTCAAAAACAATGTTTTGGAAGGATTTCTTATATATATATATATGTTGGAGTTGGCTACCGGCATTGGAACATGGAAAAATTGAAGAAAACACTGTAAATAGCAGTATTTTCAACGGTTGGGGAGATAAGGGAATTGGAAGCATTGTCGAACATGATGTTTTCGACCGGTTTTATGGCGACAAAAGTGTCAAGTACCGTGCTTTGAAGGAAACCATTGCAAAAACATGGAAACACATTCAAAGAACACGGGATTTGGGGGACTATCTAGGCGTCATTGTCTAGCTATTTGAAATTCCGCAGCTTGGAGAGCCTCCAAGGGAGGGAAAAGTGAAAATTCCATAGCTTGGGAAGCTGTCACGGCGGGGAAAGTGAAAATTCCCTAGCTTGGGAAGCACCCCACGTGGGCGGGGAAAAGTGAAAATTCCCTAGCTTGGGGAGCCCCCACGGGGGGGAAAGTGAAAATTCCCTAGCTTGGGGAGCCCCCACGGGGGGGAAAAGTGAAAATTCCCTAGCTTGGGGAGCCCCCACGGGGGGGAAAAGTGAAAATTCCCTAGCTTGGGGAGCCCCCACGGGGGGGAAAAGTGAAAATTCCCTAGCTTGGGGAGCCCCCACGGAGGGGAAAAGTGAAAATTCCCTAGCTTGGGGAGCCCCCCACGGGGGGGAGAAAGTTAAAATTCTTAGCTTGGGGAGCCCCCACGGGGGAAAACCACCCTTAGCCCCTCTCACGGACCGAAATAAATTTGCGGTGTGGGCGGCCACCCCAGAAGCGGGGTGAATAATGGTAAATCGGTAAATCACCAACATTGGTTGTTTAGACCATGGCACATGAAGAATTTGGACCAGAATCCAACCAACTCGTCAATTTGGTTGGGGAAACCTATGGTTTTGGGATGTTACCCCCTCGACACCGAGATCACACCGAGGCTTCAACAGCTGGCAGTGTCTGCCAAACCGGTTGACAGGAGGCTAGAAACTCGCATAGGCGCCGGGCGGCTACTTCCGCCAACGACAGTCAAATGGTTCTAAATCCGCATAATCATTATAATCCACCAGCTCTAGATGATGTTCAAATAGTGTCCATCCCTTACCACCATGTTTTTTTTTTTTTTGAGCCCTTGTCTCCAGGTCTGATTCCGCAGGATCGCTTGGCCATCAAAGCTCCAGAGGAAGTCCGCGAGGGGCTCAGATGATGCTGATGGAGGGTGATTTTCTTAATACAATTCAAATTCAAATGGTTAGTTATTCTAATGGCTATTTGATTTTGTTTGATTTTTTTTTGGGATATATTTTGATATGGTAAAAATATGTAAGCAGTCAGTTGGAGTTGGACCTGAAATTCCACTTGGCTCCCAGCTATGATGGAGCGGAATTTCAGGCGCTGGGAGCCGGATGAAGTCTTCAAGAGGGGCGTCCAGTTCCCTGAAGCAGGCAGGGCCCGGCAGGGTCCGGCAGGGCTGAGCAGTTCGATGAACCACTCCTGACGCTCCGGCTCCATGTGGTGATATAAGGACACAGATTACTTGTCATACTAATCCTTTCCTCCTAATACTAAACGCCCCCCCTAATGATAAACACCTCAGGTAGTTCTTATTATTAGGGGGATATTTATTATTGGGAAACCCTATTAATAAATTAAAATCTTAATAATAAAAAACTATGTTTTCCGATTTCAAAATCAATTAAATTTCATTTTATAATGCAATTAAAATATTGCCAAAAATTGGTTTTCGAAGCGGGCCCTAATAATAAATTAAAAGCCCTAATATAAAAAAATTAAAAATTGTCAGAAGGACCCTAATAATAAACACCCCGGGGTCAACTAGTGTTTATTATTAGGGGGCAAAACCCACAAATGGTAGCTTTATTTTTAAATTGTTTTCTAAAGGGGATCAATTAAAAGTCAAACTGGCCAATCTGAAATTTTCCAAATTGGGAGATGGACCCTAGTTTTTAGTATTTGTGGGGGGTTTAGTAATAGGGGGAAGGGATTATCAGAGTAGGGGCTCATCTCTATCTAACTCTAACCACACATGACCGTGGACACAGAGATTTAGGAAAAGTGACGGATATTATTAGATGAAACCTCATCATTTTAGCGGAGTTGGGTGAAGAGGAAGACCGTGAAAAGATGTCCTCATATGTCCTGATGCGCAGTTTGAAAAGGACCAAGATATTCCACATCACCTCACAAAATGCTGATAGAAGAACCCAATTAATTGCAGATATTGCAGGAATATCAGCTGCCGAGAGTTCACAAATTTCTGATTGGAAAGACTGCCCTGCCCTTGTCCTCCGGTAGAACACCTGTGCAAGAAACTTATACAGATTGGTATTCAGTGCTTAGGGTGCAGTCATATGGGCATGGGTCAAGCTTGGAATCCCAGAAAATTGGTCATTTTGAGTTTTAAACCATCATAAACATTTCATAAACCAGGGTTAGGTGGGTTAGGTGGGTTGGGTAGGTTGATAGCTGAGAATCTTGACATATCTTGACCCATCCACCCCAGGGCAGCAAGTTGCGCGCGGAGAATTCTTCGAAAACTCTCACTTTGTTGGGCTCAGATCTCCAAAGTCTTGGCAGCGAGGAGATGGGCTGTTGGATTTGGCGGCAGATAGCTGCGGCAGCTGCGGTGCTTTTGTAAAATGTCGAACTCTCGAGCACTTTCATCATCTTTCACATGAACATGTTGTTCAGAGTTCAGATGCATTTTTATCTTTTATTTGATGCATCTGTTTGATATTTCTATGGTGCTTTTGGGTGCAATTTCGCAGGAGGACGAGAATTTGATGCGTGGTGCCACCAAGACCTTGGAAGAGGTATACCGGCAACGGAGTGACATTGAAGCATGTTGAATCATGGTGAAACATTCGCAGAAGCGTTGTGTCATGTGATATATGTGATACTGTATATTGTGTCGTATTATTGTGTCACACCAAAACCAAAAACTCTGATGGTCAAATCGAATCGCTATTATATTCTGTCATGTTCTGATGATTCTGTCATATTCTGTCTCTGCACGCAATTGTCTTAGTGGGTTTGATCAGCGCCACTGGTCTACATCGGGCGTGAGGCTGCGGGTCGCCTGGGCAGATTGCAGTGGGGCAGCAAAGGGCCTGGCGGCAGCAAAGGCGGGGCCATGGAACATATGGCACCATATGGCACCAACAAAAGTTAACAAAAGGGTCATTGAGTCAAGGGTTGGTGATGGTCAGTGATGGTCGGTGATTCAGCTGCCCAAAATCTTGCAGGTGTTGGTGCTATTCCTGATGGGTGCGGTGCCCAGCAGATGGCAAACCAGGTGCTACAATTACCAGTAGTCTAGACATACTAATCCCTACTGCAGTCTGTCAAACAAAAGATGTTTCCAGTCCAATCATTCCAGCAATCTCCAGCAATCACAATATAATATCATTTATCAATATCATTCCAGTAGGTTTATGTCATATTTATGTCATATTTATGTCATATTCAGATTGGTTTCATCTCCACCATGTCTTGCGTTCATTCATACGCCTTGACCCAGGTTCCAAGCTATCAGCGAGGAGGATGAGCTACGGGCTACAGGTCATGATTGATGTGCAACAAAGTATTTGAGAGTATCAAGATTAATTATAGTCATCCCCAAATAGATGGAACAGTATATCCCTAGTAATTTGATGGTGATTTACTTTTCCATCTATTTGGGGATGACTATAGAAGATTATCAATTAGCCGGGCCAGGAAGAAGGACTCTGGATGTCTCTAGATGTCTCTAGGACTCTAGGAAGAATGTCCAGCAAGTCCTCGCTGGAGCTGCCAGTTCAACTCTGCACAAGAGATGTATTGTTCAGAAACGTAGTAACTACGGTTGATAACATACACACATATATATATATATAATATATAATATATATATATAGTATATAATTATATATATGTAAATGTATATATTGCTAGAATCACTGGTGCTGTGAAGATGTGGGAAACATGCCGAAACGGTGTCGCGATGTAACCCTGAATTTGTTTGCTTTGTTCTCTGGTAGCTTCCCACAGACCACATGGCATTGGTACTTCTCACTATGCAGGCACTGCCGAGCCATTGGAGCCACTTCATGTGGAAAGTGACACTGAGTCCTTGTAGGCCCTGTAGGCGATGCGACTAGTCACTGGTCATTTTTCCGGCTCTAAGACGAGCAGTCCCACTGTGGCTGGGGTCTCCAGAAGGAGAATCTGAAGCCGGTGGTTTTTTTGGAGGGCCAGTGAAGTTTCACGGAGAATTTGCCCACTGGGTTGGTGTCAAGACTAGGAATCTAAAGTCCCGGTTTTACATGGTTACATGCACTTTCAAACAGCCACCAAGCTGTTGTTGCTTGAAAGAGTCCACGAAAAAAGATGACATTTGCCCAACAGCATGGTCCAAATTCGCAAATTTCAGTCCTCGCCTCAGGGTGAAAAACGGTGTCCCTTTCTCAGTGGGCTCCTGGGTTTCTGGCCGATCCGAAAGCACTTGGCCCCTTGGCCCCTCCCAAGTGCTGCACGATGCCGGAGGCTCCAGCTGCAGGTCAAATCTGCCGCGGCCAGTGGAGCAAGGTCAAACTATGCTTGGAAAACCTGGAAAACCTGGAAAATCCTTGTCAGAACAGACGCGATGGCTGATATCATATGATATCATATGATGGGTATATCATGGGCCCCTACATATTTATGAACAATACAGTAATGATCAATAGTTTTGAAGTTGCTCTAGGAATCCTGAGACGCTACCACATGCAGCCACTACTGCGCCAATACCGGTATATAGTCGATTTACTTACATAGGAAATTCAGATTCTTGAAGTTGAGCTTCTAACATCCCATCCCCTATGAAGCCATGGAAACCATGGAAGCGATGGCGGATCACGATCTCTCAGTCTTCATGGGCCGCATGGACAAGTTGTGCCAACGGCTGAGTGACTGGAAGTCGGCAACGCCTCAGAGATCTCAGAGCCGGAGCACCTCACAGAGTTTGGCAAATCGCTCAAGACAGCTCAGCAGCGGCTAGGACTTTTGATCTCTTTTTGAATGATGTGATATGATTGCTTAATGATTGCAGATTAATTAAGTTTAATTTAAAATGTATAAACAATTTCCCTGTGATTCCAAACAAGCAACATGAATTGGAAGTAGCGTCGTGTGGCGTCAAAGTCCACCCAGGTCAGTTGAGACAGCTCGAGGGTCAGGGCCTGGCTCGCAGCTTTGTGAAATTGCGGCAACAGACCGAGACGCCCAGCAGTGGAAGTCGCCTTTGGAACAACAGTGGATCCCAGGAAGGGACGAAGGCCCGCGTGGAGAGAGCTGAGAGTCCCATTTTGAAGCTGTCTACCAGGGGCAGTCCGCCTGCATCTCGGTCCCCCAGCAAGGCGTTGGTGAGCATTCTGCCATACTCAGCCAAGGATTGGCTGAATGATGAAGCAAAGGTCTCCCAGGTCTCCCAGGTCTCCCAGGTCTCCCAGACTGAAAGGACATTTGAAGCTCCTCAGCCACCTGAGTTGGCCAAAAATGAATGGCAACGAAGCCGAAATAAATTGATTGATGGAAGTCCTTCCAGACGCAGACGCGTTGAGAGCAAGAGTCCCAAGCGGACCAATCCTTCGCTGAGTCCTTCCAGCCGAAGATCTAACAGATCTAGGGACGCCCTTTCCCCTGAGAATAGCCCCTTCCAAATGGACGGGCCGTCGGAGGTGAGATTTTCTGAAACTTTGAAGAATCCAAGTGAAGACACGAAAGGATTTGAAGATTCACAGGTGATCTCTTCCTTTGAGTCTCGGATACAAGCACTGCAACAAAAAGCCCGTGGTTTGCCAAGGCCACACATGGACGCTTGTTTGCAGTAGGCAAGACATGTGCAGGCAGAAAGATGGACTATATATGAGTGACGGTGTTTATTGGGTGAAGTGAAGAAAGTCTTGGGGCGTACCCTGGTGGAGAACGAGGTGGGAGCACTCCGTTGATTACCTCATGTACCAAACACTTACCACAACTTACTAACTGGTATCTCATGTATCTCATGGGCGTATAGAATATCCGCGACCCTCCAACTTCAGGCTGACAAAATGTGTGACACCCGTTCCTCCAAGCATCGGCTCTCAGCGCAATGGAACCCGCCCAGGAGAGCAGCTGGCCACGCAGAGACCCATCCAAAGGTGGTGGAAGTCTCATTGTCCAGGCTGGGGAACATGGGCATAGGATGGGTATGGATGGGTCAAAGAGACAAAAGATGACAAAAGATGACAAAAGATTCCGTCCAATCAATTCCTTAGGATGTTGTCCATTGCTGACGGGGGTACATCAGGGTACCAAGGTTTGGACCTGCCAATTTGTGTGGTCATCACTTGTCGAATTAGGGCCCTGGGTTCTGTTCTGCTATGCAAGGATCTTGGCTGCCAATTTACTCTCCAGATGCATCTCAATGTTTTGTTTACAACATGTAGTCTCAACATGTCTCAACATGCGTTAAGATGCTTTATACAAGAAGGTTCGGCCTTCTCGTAAGTACCAAGATGTTCCAAGATTCTCGTGATGCTGCATTTTTGTCCGCAGCGCCAGGATTTTCAGGAGCAGGTCTGATGCTTAGCTGGGACGGGATGGTTCACCGGAACGGAAAGTACCAAGCATCCCAAACCATTCCCCGTCCAGAGGCCCCTGGCTACAACGGCTATGAAAGTCCTTCAACCGAGCATCTCGGAAAGGCATGGGTGGGCATCAAGAGAGACTTTGATTTCAGGGTTGCCAAGTCAAAATCCAGTCGCTTCCATTCTGAAGTTTCTAAAAGTGCATGGGATAGCCTGGTGATCAATCATTGTGCCGCAAATCAATGTACTCTTGGTCCACGTCCACTCATGCACAATGTCGGTAGTGATGTCCCATTTCCAAAGAGTGTCTTGTGACATATGCAAAGATATGCAAAGACTATCCCAGTATCCTTCCAGTTTTGCTCAACAAAAGTGATCATCCAAGTATGTGACTATCCGCTAAGTTAATCCACTAAGTATCACAGTATCCCTGCAAAATGTTTTGCCACCCCTCACCTAGGCTATCGCACTGGAGAAGTCAAGTCAGGAATTCACCAGACACCGGACGTTCTCAACGCTCAGATGAGACCTTGGCCAGCCGCGTAAGCCGAGGGCTCAGCAATACAAGCCTTAACTGGGGTGGTTGGGATATGGGCACAGGTCACATGAAACCGGATTGAATTCATAGGTATATGATGCAGAAATATGCCGAATACAAATGTCATTATCATTTTAGATTCTAGACATGCCGCAAACAGATGATGCCGTCCTGCACATTAGCACTTTCGGATACTTTCGGATACGTTCGTTTTTCAAAAGCAACGAAAGATATCAGAAGGTTCCATGGCATTCCATGGCTGCATTGGAGATTCAAGCGATCTTCCTGAGCGACGCCCTTCAGCTTGTCACGCTGGTTTCATGCTGCTTTCCTTTCAGGTAACCTGGAAGACTCCTTTGCACGCATCGAGACTTGGCAAAGTTGCACTTCCAATCTGCCGTTTCAAATGCCATCACTAATTACACCGGATCTCATGGAAGATCCGTTCTCACAGGAAAGTAAATAGAGATAAATAGAGTATATGTTTTTGCACAAATATATATAATTATATATATATACCATTAACTATTAATTATGCATATATATATATACACACGTGTGTGTATGCATGTTGTTTTGTGCAAAGAGTATGCAAGTGTCCATTTTCAGGAGTTGCCGAGTTGCCTCAAACCTGACTCAATGTGCCCCAAGAAGATCAGGCGGTGAAATGACTTGGCAGGTAAGTTCCACAAGTAGCTACAAAGGCAGCAGCTGGTGTGTCTGAAAATGGATTATCTCAAAATCTAAATGTCCATTTATCCTCACATTCTATCCTCACATTCTGTCACATTCATTCTATCACGTTCTACTTTATTCCCAGTGAATACTTATATAATATATATACTTATCATCTTATCAACATTGCCATCTTGGGGTGTACAAACCCACAAGTTGCCCCTAAATGCGATCTTTTCTCCACGAAGCACACGACACACTCAGGAGTTCATGCTTCAGCAAGTTCTTGGCATAGCAGGCCAAGAATTTCTGGCTGTTTTTTAACAGCGAATCTGTCGAAAAACCTTGCAGTGCCCGCAGCCACTGCAGGCTCTCAGATGCAAATGCCAAGGGTGAACAGCAGGTCTCTCCAATCCCGAGTTTCTTGACGTGAACGGTGTTAAACCAATGTTTATCATTGGTTTTGATTCTTGATTGTCCATGTACATACACGATGTTCTGGGTGAATTATTGGGAAATGCCAGTGAAGATACACAGCGCTACCGAGACATGTTGAAAATGTTTCCAGGCATGGAGCATTTTGGAGCATCATATATGTATATATATTATATTAATATATGTATAATTATATTTATTTATATTTATATATGTGTATATATATCTTAATATTATATATATATATATATATTAATATATTTATAATTATATATATATAATTATCTTTATATATATATAATTTTCAGATTATTTCAGATTACCCAGATGTAGCAGAGTGTAACACACACACAGTGGATCCAGGTTGACACCTGGCCCATTGGACCATTGCGGGCTCCAGGCCTTGGAGGCGTTGGACGGCACAGATCATATCCGTACTATCTCTCTCCCCAGATATGTATGTAGAATTATGTATATTATATATACGTGTATATATCTAATATATGTGTATATATTTTATTATGTAATATAATGAATAATAATAGTAATATATGATTAATAATGTACGAATATATACGATAGTATATATATATATAGACTAAAAGGGAATAGAACGAGAGACAGCGGTTTTTTTTTACGTTCATCTTCATGCACACGTAGAATCAGAGAGAAAAAAACATGAGAGCTGCCAGAAACCTCCGTAAATCTCGATCTCCGCACGAGGCGGCTGTGAAGTTGTTCACGACGAGGCACGGGCTGTGAAGATCTGAATTGGCTGCGCAGATCTGCGCAGTGTTGACGCCAGGCAGCTGAAACACGGAAAGGATTCTTCAAGTGGCCCATGGTCCGGAGACACGGGCAATTTGCATAAACTATATAAACTTGCAGTAACAGGTGATTTTAATGTTGGCTCAGATCTTCATTTTGGTCAGGGCACGCCAGCGCTCATTGCGCAGCTTCAACGTGGATGAACTTGGGATGTTTGTCGCTGCCGAACGCTGAGGACATAGCCGAAGCCACGGAACTTGCTCGTTTGAGGCAAGCAAAGGTGCCTCGTTCAGTCTCGTTCAAGCCGTCTCAAGCTTCACCCATGTCTCCATTGACTGTGAGTGGTCCGTCAGGCAGCTTCGCGCAGTGCATGAGCATGTAGAAGCTCTCTGCATCCAGTTTCTTTTATCGGATAATGTTGGAGTTTTGGTGGCTCTTGTTGCCATCGCACATAAGTTCACTCGTGCGAGGGGAAAAAAGGGAAGAGAGTGCGCATTGTCAGTAAGGAACGTCTAAGAGATTGTTTCAGGATGTTTCAGGCTGTGGTACTGTGGAACAAGTGGACCCTGACAACATACACCTAATATCTTCAAGAGATTTTGGTATTTTACAGAATCTTAGCCTCTGGCAAAAAAGGCTGCTGTCCATTGAAAGATGCCAGCAAACTTCAGCAAAGAAGTTTGCTAGTTTTTCTCTGGTCGGTGGAGTTCTCTGGTGGGTGGCGGGGGGGGGCAGGTCGGCGCATAAATGCGTAAGTGAGGGGAGTCTGCAGATTGGTGAACAAGAAAAACAGTACAAAAGTAGGAGGAAGTCGAAGCGCGTGTGGGGTGTGAGCGAGAGGCGACCCAAGGTTCCTGCTGTTCGAAGTGTTGAAAAGACATGCTGTTTGAAAAGTCACTGAGTCACAACATGAACTTGATGAACTTGCAGTTTGGGTCTGAAAGTCCTTTGTGCGATTGCTTTGCATGTGCCAGGGCTGGAAGGCAAACTCGGGCAAACCCCAAATATTACAAGATTACATATCATTCATATAGATCTCCTTTGGTTGTGTGTTTTTTTGTCTAGCTGAGCTAACCTGCAGTATCCACGTGTATATACGTGTATCCACTGGCTCAAAGAAGAGGCCGCATCGTTGCAGACTCCATCCATCCATCAGCATCAAGAATCAGACGATATGCAGTAGTCACTAGATATGACGCAAAAGTTTTGCATTGCACATCTCTGTTTTGCTAGGAGTTTGAAAGCCTTTTTAACTCCGAAGCTTCGACTGCAGCGAAGGCCTTGGGGTGTCGTGCCTTGGGGTTTTTAGGATGTCGGAGACATCGTTCAATCATGTTCAATCCAACAAATATGGCATCGTGGTTGGTCGACGAACACAGCACAGGGTCAATATATGTCATGAAAGGAGCAGGAAATCATCCCAGAAATCTGGATGCAGATGGATCCTTTCCTTGTTAGTTTTCGAGACACTAGAGGAATGAACAAACAATCAGGTGAAATGGCATGGGTTTATTCCTCTTGACAGAAGGGCGGTACCAGGGGGGTTTTGACCGGTGACCGGGCAACCGGGCTGACCGGCCTGGTTGACCGGGCCCGGTTGGCCGACCGGCCAACCGGCTGACCGGGCCAACCGCCGACCGACCGGCCAACCGGCTGACCGACCGGCCAACCGGGCGGCCGGCCGACCGGCTGACCGGCCAACCGCCGACCGACCGGCCAACCGGCTGGCCGCTGACCGGCCGGCTGACCGGCCGGCTGACCGGCCGGCCCGGTTGGCCGACCGGCCGACCGGCTGACCGGCCAGTAGTAGTAGTAGTAGTAGTAGTAGTAGTAGTAGTAGTAGTAGTAGTAGTAGTATTAGTAGTAGTAGTAGTAGTAGTACTAGTCGTAGTAGTATAGTTGTTGTAGCAGTAGAAGTAGCAGTAGCAGCAGCAGTAGCAGTAGCAGCAGCAGCAGCAGTAGTAGTAGTAGTACTAGTCGTAGTAGTATAGTAGTAGTAGTAGTAGTAGTAGTAGTAGTAGTAGTAGTAGTAGTAGTAGTAGTAGTAGTAGTAGTAGTAGTAGTAGTAGTAGTACTAGTCGTAGTAGTAGTACTAGTCGTAGTAGTATAGTTGTTGTAGCAGTAGAAGTAGCAGTAGCAGCAGCAGCAGCAGTAGTAGTAGTAGTACTAGTTGTAGTAGTCGCCGTCGTAGTAGTGGCAGCCCAATCACATATCCAAGAAAAAAGCAAAAGCAGAAAAAGCATGAGGAGGAAGAGAAGAAATTACATGCAAACACCCTTAAACAAAAAAGTAATATGTCAATAACTTTTAGATTTGAGAAAAACATAGTTTCCCAAACGGACCAGTTTTTGACAACTTTCTTTACTAAAAAAGGCAATTTGAAGTTCAAAGAAGGGTCCCCTCCACAAATTGCCGAATTTAACTTGTGCGGCAGTCATTGTATTGACACGTGTATGATGTTCATCCTTATTTCTATGTCCTGGTTTCTGCAGCTAATATTTGATGGCAGCCCAAACGCACATCCAAGAAAAAAGCAAAAGCATGAAAAGCAGAGAAGGGCGGAGCCGGGCACTCTCCAACCGTGAACCGTGGAACTCAACCGTGGAAACCGTGAAACCGTGGAGCTCGAACCGTGGCCCACGTTTCCACGGTTCAACCGTGGAACCGTGGAACCCGAACCGTGACACACGGTTCCACGGTTCAACCGTGGAGCCCGAACCGCGGCGTACGGTTCCACGGTTGAACCGTGGCGGACGGGCGTACGGTTCCACGGTTCAACTGTGAAACCGTGGAGCCCGAACCGTGGAGCCCAAACCGTGGCCCACGGTTGCACGGTTCAATTGTGAAACCGTGGAGCCCGAACCGTGGCACACGGTTCCACGGTTCAAGTAGTAGTAGTAGTAGTAGTAGTAGTAGTAGTAGTAGTAGTAGTAGTAGTAGTAGTAGTACTAGTACGAGTACCAGTACCAGTACCAGTACCAGTACCAGTACCAGTAGTAGTAGTAGTAGTAGTAGTGGTAGTGGTAGTGGTAGTGGTAGTGGTAGTGGTAGTGGTAGTGGTAGTGGTAGTGGTAGTGGTAGTGGTAGTGGTAGTCGTAGTCGTAGTGTAGCGTAGTCTAGTAGTGCTATTCGTACTAGTAGTACTAGGGGTACTAGTGCTAGTACAGTACGAGTGCTATTACTAAAACTTGTTTTGTAGGAGCGCAGTAGTAGTACTAGTACTAGTAGTAGGCTGGCTTACCGGCCACGGCTACCGGCCGCTGACCCCCGTCCGGTTGACCGACCGGCCAACCGGCTGACCGGCCAGTAGTAGTAGTAGTAGTAGTAGTAGTAGTAGTAGTAGTAGTAGTAGTAGTAGTAGTAGTAGTAGTAGTAGTAGTAGTAGTAGTACTAGTCGTAGTAGTAGTACTAGTCGTAGTAGTATAGTTGTTGTAGCAGTAGAAGTAGCAGTAGCAGCAGCAGCAGCAGTAGTAGTAGTAGTACTAGTTGTAGTAGTCGCCGTCGTAGTAGTGGCAGCCCAATCACATATCCAAGAAAAAAGCAAAAGCAGAAAAAGCATGAGGAGGAAGAGAAGAAATTACATGCAAACACCCTTAAACAAAAAAGTAATATGTCAATAACTTTTAGATTTGAGAAAAACATAGTTTCCCAAACGGACCAGTTTTTGACAACTTTCTTTACTAAAAAAGGCAATTTGAAGTTCAAAGAAGGGTCCCCTCCACAAATTGCCGAATTTAACTTGTGCGGCAGTCATTGTATTGACACGTGTATGATGTTCATCCTTATTTCTATGTCCTGGTTTCTGCAGCTAATATTTGATGGCAGCCCAAACGCACATCCAAGAAAAAAGCAAAAGCATGAAAAGCAGAGAAGGGCGGAGCCGGGCACTCTCCAACCGTGAACCGTGGAACTCAACCGTGGAAACCGTGAAACCGTGGAGCTCGAACCGTGGCCCACGTTTCCACGGTTCAACCGTGGAACCGTGGAACCCGAACCCCGTGAAGGTCTCTAGATTTCATCAGAGTTGTCCTCTCCTCCTCTTCCCTGCCAGAAAGTTTTGCCAGAAAGAATGTCAAAATCTGTATGACATTCATGGTGGGGATCACTCGAAGAAAGGTCACCAATGATGAATCTTCGATTTAGGATTCTTGCTTTGGTGAACCACACCTGTGTCTGGAAAGTACTCGTAACTTCTTATGCTAGGTTTGGCCACAGATAGGGTGCTTTCTGTTTCTTTCGCTCTCGCCATCAAGGGTTGTGGTTGAGGAGGCATGTCATTGGTTTATGGTTTTGTCTTCATTGTGTTTGCCGTTGCATTCACACGCTTCGTCCTGCTGAGGCGCATTCTTCCTGATTCATCTCGTGGACGGTGCCTGGTTTCCGACGGGTTTGCAATTGACATGTATTCACTTGTTCGTGTCTCTTTTGGTAGACCTGTAGGTCTTGCTGCAAATGGGTGAAGCTGTTCTGTCAGATGTCGCCCTCAAAGAAATGGGTTCCATTAAACATACCGTCGCGGTCTTGTTGCGCTATTTTTTTTGGGACCTGGTGTGATCACGATTCAGACCCCGGACCCGAGAACCCACTCCAGCTTCATCTCTATTAACTGTATTCGGTCTCTCCTTCTCACACGTCTTGTTTGTGGGACTTAACTGTGATCTTTCCCATTTCCAAGCATGTCGCTCTGCGAGGCCATTGCCGCAGGATGACTGCAAGAAGGGGACGACATCGCGAAGCCTTGTTTCAAAAGGGTGCTTTGGATTGTGTGTGAGATCAGAAGTAACGGTTTCATGTGTACCTGATTGTTGTCAATATTTTCGTTCTGGAAGATAGTCTTCTGATTTCTTTTTTGGTTTTTCTCAGTTTATGTGGCCTGTTGCCATGACCGGAAACGTTGGACTTATTTCTCCACCTGCCAGGTGAGGGCTACTAGATTTTACCATGGCTGCGCGGGGGGGACGGAGGGGGGTGGGCACTGCCGGACCTCAACGGCGAGCTCCAGATCCCAGTGGGCAACGCCGGACCACACGGCGAGCTCCAGATCCCAGTGGGCAACGCCGGACCTCAACCGCGAGCTCCAGATCCCAGTGGGCACTGCCGGACCTCAACAGCGAGCTCCCGATCCCAGTCAACAACGCCGGACCTCAACCGCGAGCTCTCGATCTCAGTGGGCACTACCCGGCCTGAACGGCGAGCTCCACATCCCAGTCCGCACTGCCGGATCTCAAGGCCAGATAGAATGTCAGATTTCTTGTTTTATTGTTTTTTTTTTTTTTATTGTTTCTTTTATGTTTTCCTCAGATTACTTTTCTTTTTGCTGTGTTCTTTGTCTCTCTCTGTGCTGCCTCCGTCAGGTGTGGTATCCGTTCTGCGCGTTTTTTAGTTTTTGTTCTTTAACTATTTTTATGGGGAACCCTCCCGCACTCCCCGGGGCGCTAGATCCGTGCGCGGTGTCGCTACGCGCGTTCGGGACTCGCAT